AGCCTTGTGGAGAAAATGCCCAGCCTGGGAGGCAGGCCTAATGACAGGGTAGGGAACAGGGGATGTCACACCCACCTGAGCTTGAAGCCGCTGCATCTACAGTGTTTTCTAAGCTGCTGCTCAATGAAGCCACTCTGGGAGTCAGACAAATGTCCCCTAGGGCAACTTCACTTCAGGAGAGCAGCCAAAGATTTAAACAACGCCTTGCACATACTAAGCAAATGCTGGATTACAGAGCTCTCCTGCCTATACCTTCCAAGTTCTGGGTTACAGGAGTGTGCCAAGATGTCATTTCCCCCAGCCTTTTAAATTTTAACTTGCTAATTATTTATTTTTAAAGATTTAATATTTATGTGTGCGGGTGTTTTTCTTGAATGCATGTCTGTGTACTATGTGCATGTAGTACTTCTGGAGGCCAGAAGAGGGCGCCAGATCTCCTGGAACTGGAGTTAAAGATGGTTGTGAGCCACCATGTGGGTGCTGAGAACTGAAGCTGGGTCCTCTGCAAGACCAACAAGTGCTTTTAACCACTGAGTCATCCCTCCAGTGTCTGTCTGTCTGTGTATCTATCTATCTATCTATCTATCTATCTATCTATCTATCTATCCATCCATCCATCCATCCATCCATCCATCCATCCATCTATCTATCTATCTATCCATCCATCCATCCATCCATCCATCCATCCATTTATAGACATAGTCTTACTATGCAGCCACGGCTGGCTTGCAAATACCATGTTGGCCCGGAACTCAGAGACCTGCCTGTCTCTGGAGTGCTGGTGTAAAAGGCATGTGCTAGAATGCCAGATTCCCAACTTTTTGGGGGTGGTTTGGGGTCTCACTATGCAGCCTTGACTGTGTAGACTGGATGAGCCTCAAACTCAGAGATCCACCCGTCTCTGCCTCTTGAAGGCTGAAATTCAAAGCATTCCTCAAGCTGGGTGCCTTTAATCCCAGCACTCGGGAGGCAGAGCCAGGTGGACCTCTGAGTTTGAGGCCAGCCTGCTCTCCAGAGAGAGTTCTAGGGTGACACAGAGAAACTGGCTTGAACAAAAAAAAAAAAATGTGTATATGCGGGGCTGGAGAGATGGCTCAGCAGTTAAGAGCACTGACTGTTCTTCCAGAGGACCCAGGTTCAATTCCCAGCACCCACATGGCAGCTTACAACTGTCTATTCTCTAGTTCCAGGATCTGATATCTTTACCCCAATGCATATAAAATAAAGGTTAAGTAAATTATTTTTTAAAAATGTGTATGTGCAAGCACCTGCAGAGGCCAGAATCGGGCACTGGATCCCCTGGAGCTAGAGTTAATAGGTGTTGGGTAGCCGGGAACTGCCCAACAGGAGTGCTGGGAACTGAATTCAGTCTTCCAAAAGAGCAGCACTTACAAGAGTGCTGAGCTGTCACTCCAGACCCAGTCAGTCTTAAAAAACAGAATGTTTGAGAGACAGTCTTGTTAGGTTGCTCAGGTCAGCCCTGAACTCAGTCTGTAACCCTTGAACTTCCAATTATCCAACCTCAGCCCCTCTGAGTACAGACGGCACCACCAGTTCCAGCCCTGCTCCTGTCAATGCCTAGGGAAGTAGATGAGGACTGAGGGACCACTACCTTATGACCACTTTAATCTGGCTCTTATTTGAGTGAGTCTGGTGGGTAGTTAGCAGCCTTAAACAGCATAGCCATCCTCCTATCATCTCAGAGCTCAGGGATAAAGGTCACTTTAGTCAGTTTCCTCTTACATCTTAAAATATCATGTATGTGTGTGGGTAGTGACTCCCAATGGCTACTTCAAGCTAGGAGTGCAAAGTTCCACTGTGCTATTGAACCATCAGTGTCACTCACAGGATGAGCTAGTCAGGGTCATTTATCCAAGTATGCTACTAGGCAGAACTGGATTCTGAATTTGTCCTTTCGTAGCTTCTCCTCTTACACTGTTCCCTCCCTCAGGCCTGCATTTTGCAGTGATGATTCTAACCATCCCTAAGCAAAAACCTTTCCTACAAAATAACCAGCTGGCATGTTCAAGGAAATAGAAGGTTGGTGGGGCGTAAAGTGTCTTTAGTCAGGAACCTGAAGACCAAGAGAAAGAAACACACACGTAATGCTGAAGTTCTGGTCACCTGCAAGCATAAGAGAACAACTGCGAGCCTAGGGTGGAAAGAGGGCAAGCAACTGCCACAGTGCTCCTGAAGCAGTTCCACTCAAGGCAAGAAGTCAGGTGTGATGTAGGTGAGGACTCCAGGAATCAGAGCACTATGGCTTTCTTGTTAGCTTCACCTGAAAACAGTTTAAGTCGCTTCTCTGTCTGCAGGGGACTGGCTTCAGACCCTCAGGGTACCAGAATACAAAGATGCTGCTGCTGTATAGAAAACAGCAGGGTTTTCTGCAATTGCATATAATACTCAAGTATCCTTCCATATACATGAAATCATCTCAATTTAAATTAGTACAATGTAAATGCTCTGCAGTTATGCCATGTTGTTCAGAGGTAATGGTAAAGTCTGCATACGTTCTGCACAGTGTTTTTCATACATGTAGAACCTACTACTACCGAGAGCTGACTATTCAAATCAAACTTCATGCCTTTGTCTTTGAAGGGCAGGCATTTTTTTTTTTTTTAACTTCTTTATTTTTCCAATACAGTTTCTCTGTAGCTTTGAAGGCTGTCCTGGAACTTGATCTGTAGACCAGGCTGGCCTCCAACTCACAGAGATCTGTCTGTCTCTGCCTCCCGACTGCTGGGATTAAAGGCGTGCACCACCACTGCCTAGTGCCATAGCACATATGGTGGGCAAAGGACAACTTCGGGGTGTCATTTTCTGCTTCACCAGGTGGGTTCCAGAACCAAATTCAGGTGCTTAGGCTAATAAGCCAGCACCTTACCTACTAAGCCACTTTGCCAGCCCCCACATAGCGTTTCTGAGTACTTTTTTTGTTTTTAATTAATGTGTATGTGTGCATTTGACATGTATGCAGGTGTCCAGGGGCCAGAAGGTGGTGTAGAATCCTCTAAAGCAACAATTCTTAATCTTCCTAATGCTTGCAACCCCTTAATACAGGTTCTCATGTTGTGATGACCCCCAACTGTTGAATTATTTTCATTGCTACTTCCTAATTTTGCTGTTATGAACTGTAATATAAATATTTGATATTTAGGACATCAGATATGTGATCCCCCACAAGTAGAGAGCCCTACTGTAGAGCTAGAGTTAGAGATGGCTGTGACCTGTTCCATGTGGGTGCTGGGAACAAAATTGCTATCCTCTCTGGAATATCAGGAATCATTCTGAACTGCTGAGCCATCTATCCAGTCCCTTGAATACTTTCCTTGTGAGATACTTTTTTTTTTTCCCATAAATGGTACACACCTTTAATCCCAGCACTTGAGAGGCAGAGGCAGGAAGGTCGCTGAGTTTGAGGCCAGCTAAGGCTCTTATACAGAGAAGCCCTGTCTCAAAAACAAACATGGGGCTGGAGAGATGGCTCAGTGGTTAAGAGCACTAGCTGCTCTTCCAGAGGACCTGGGTTCAATTCCCAGCGCCCACATGGCAGCCTGTAACTGTATCTACGATTCTGGGGGATCTGACACCTTCATACCACTGCACATAAAATAAAGTTAAATAAAAAACCAACCAACTAACCAAACACACACACACACACACACACACACACACACACACACACACACCCTAGCCAGGTGTAGTAGTGCACACCTTTAGTCCCACTACTCAGGAGGCAGAATTCTAGGCCAGCCAAGGCTACATAGTAAGATCCTATTTCAAAGAAAGAAGTATCTTCCATTTTGGGCTAAGAATATAGCCCTGCGTTTGAGCTCAGCAACATAAAAACTACCTGGCAGCACTTGCCTGTGATCTCAAGTGCCTGGGAGGTGGGAGCAGGTCTAGGAGCTCAAGGTCTGCCCTAGCAGAGTTCAGGCCCCAGCCTGGGTCACTCGGCTTTAGAGCAGGAGTCTGCAGATAACAGAAGCACCTTAAACAAGCCAAGATCTGAGACCTGACTTCAAGACTCAGATGGCAGGCAGAAGCCTCTGGTTGACTACACGGTCATTTATTTATTCACTTCCTCCTCCTCCTCCCCTTTTCTGGCTCATGACAGTGTTAGCTTTTGTTCCTCATTTGTTTGATCATATGTCACATCTGCATGAGTCATCCAAGCAAACCCAGGGGAAGACTGTGACCTTTGCCCTCTGGTCCTCTCCTAGGAGCACCTGTCCATTGAAGATTTCACTAAGGCCTTGGGGATGACTCCAGCTGCCTTCTCTGCCCTGCCTCGATGGAAGCAACAAAACCTCAAGAAAGAAAAAGGACTATTTTAACAAGTATAGCTCTGGCCATCCAGCAGCCCCCTACCTGCCTATGAGGGCTTTCTTCTGCCATTACTGGTTTTAGTGTTGTGCCAGTTGAAAATGTCCAATTGTATCTACGAGCCAGTGTAACCATCCCTTCTGTTTACATTAGTGATCTATTCATTCCTTCAGAAAGATGCAGCGTCCCCTGAAGTCTTGTTCTAGAGTTCTCTTTCCTTAGAGGAGCAGCCAAACACTGCAGTTGCCATTAGCATCTGCATTTTTCTTCAGCACTTTCATTTACAGCAGGACGGCTGGAATGTTGGGCAATTTGACGTCATTTCCACGGGAAGGCCTTTCCTCACTGCCTTCTAGGGTGCTAAGTCAGGGAACTCCCTTCTTTGAAAGCTGGAGACCTAAAGGGAAGTATGAGAGGTGGTGTTATTTCACCCTTCCTTCATACTCTGACATGACAAAGGGAAAGCTTAGCTAAAAGCCAACGCTGGGCTTACATGCTGTTACCCAGAAGTCTCTGCAAAGCTTTAGACTCCTCAGATGGCAGTATCAGGAACATGGGTTTGCTACAAGAAGTCCAATCAGAAGCCAACAGAAGGTGATTTCCACTTAAAACAACTGGTCATTCAGTGTCCCCAGGAATGTGTCCCTTTAAAGAAATAAGTCAAACTAACATAAGGTTAATAAAGGCTTTAATGTCTCTCACACACTCACTAAAATAACAAACAACCCCCCAAACAAACAAAACTCTGCATAATTTAAAAATGAAACAAAAACAAGGAAAAACAAAGGACACAGGAACAGTTCTGCTAAAACACAGATAAAGTGCCGTTCCACATACACATCAATAATCAGAACCAGAAGTCATTCTGAACACAAAGAAGCCACCTCACATTATGTGGCCAAAGCTGCCAGCACACCTGGGATCGGCTCAAACACCAAGTGCAGGAACCTCACTTCTGTTCCTTCCCCCAGGCACGAAGAACCCCACCGAGGGCCAGGGAAGGGTGAGGAGATGCCAAAAGGACAGAAAGCTAGGAGACAGTGCACACACCCATGGCGGTCTCCCTCTTGCCCACTCCTCTTCCAACAGACTGGTTCAGACGACCACCCTTCTTTGTTCTTGCATCTGGCTTAAAACACCTGGATCCTGGCCCAGATGCTCATCCACCCTCTCTTAGGCCTGAGGAACTGTCTGTAACGTCTAAGTCCATTGTCACTAAAACGTTTATTCATACAGGCACACCTACAATTAAAACCTCCAAACCTTAGATATATAGCACAGATGGAAAGGAAACAATTTACTAATCATGTAGAAATGAGAGACCGCCTCAATCTAGTAACCAAAGCAAAACACAAAGTCTACTTTGGTGATAGAGAGAATAGTCCTGTTACAAAACTCCCATGGCCAAGAAACTGTAGTTTTCCAATAAAATATGTATTTTTCCAGGTGGCAAGACAGTATAGATAGGACTTTAAGTGATGGATTAAAATGATGGGAGAGGTAAGATGTCTGGGTTTGTACACATTTCCAAGGAGACAGTACTGCAACACAGGCAGAGGGGTGGACACAGCTGTTTTACTGGGACACTTACAGAACCTGCAATGTGGTATTGAGCCGTTTGCTGGATTTTCTAAGTGTCCCTATACATACAAGATTCACAAGGACTGAGATCTAGTTAAAGAGATCTGCACAGGTACTTGTGTGGTCACATCACAGCAACTGCAGTATGGAAGAAAAATTCAGAGTTACTTTGCTGAGGTTCTCACTATTAGAGCCTTTTCCTTGGAGTTTTATATATCAAGGAGAAAGATAGAAAAATGTGTAGTTTAATATTTGCACCGAGTTAACTGACCTGCAAGTACTACATGTTAAAACATAAATACATCTACACCTGCTGTGTCTGCTACTGAGCTGTTTAGGTTAAGCCCAAACATAGAAAGTAAGCAACCATTTTGAAATCAGAATAGAAACAGAACAATTCATGGATTTACTTATTCTTCCTGCTGGGCCATAACTTGAGTGTGTGTATACACATCTACCCCTACAAAACAAGAGTTTGGTCTCCCTACAGGCCTAAATGATAGTCTTGGCTAGTAAAAACAACAACAACAACAAAAAAACAAAACAAAACAAAAAAAATACACACAGCTTTTAAACTGCATAATACAGGGGCAAAAAAAAAAAAGTTTATTTTCTTATCCAAAAAGTTTTGGCTAAGATCAAAAAATATTGCATAGAGTACTAATTGCTATGAAATTACAGGTCAGTCATTTAAAGTAATGTAAGCACACACTCGACATTGTACACAGAAGGTCATTATGCAGACCGAAGGGGACTGACACTTCCAATCACCTGTCCCTTCCCAGCCCAGCATGTTAACTGCTCTACCCCCCTACCTCCCAATTCTGGGATCAGTGTTAAAAAAAGAAATATATTATTTACTCATAATTTAAAAAAATACACAACTAGCTTAGAACAACCAATACCCCTATCAATATAGTCTAGGTCACGTTGCCATTTGCAGTCAAATTAAAGGAATGAAGGGAGAAGGGGAAGGCTGACAAGGTCATAGCATGGACAGATGTAAAATTCAAGTCCTGAAGTTGTAAGTAGTAAACTATTTTCAACTATCAAGTCCTGCCCAAGACATGAAGGTCAAACCAACCTGGTTTTGTGCCAAGTGTACTTCTATACCACGACGTACATAGGCCTCAGTTCAGGGGTGATTTCTAGTTTCCTCCAGCTCACACTAAGCCTCATCATTTCAACAGCTAAAGTTCTCCAGGGCAGAGGTGGGAGACACCGTGCTAAAGCACACACTCACTGCTTCATTTGAGATACTAGTCACTTCCAAGCACACAGCTATCTATCTACCTGTGTCACTTTGGAGCATTCATTACAATGAGTGCAAGAGAAGGCAGGAGTCAAAGTGCTCATCAGTAGTTAAACAGAAGCACTGAGGCCATTACACCTCAATGATTCAGACCTTTATAAGTGATTATGTAAGAATGCACCCAGATTCCAAGAGACTGGCTGGAGCTCTCTGAATACAATCTTCCAGAAAAGATGTTGCAGAAAAGTGATGGGTTTTAACATCCCCAGAAAATCTGATATGGTTTCATACATATCTCAGAATGCAGAGTAACCTTCCCATTAATAATAAAAGGAAAAGGGAAGGAAACGAATGCAGGCTTCATTTTGCTAGTCTGTGCAATCCTAATAACCCTTGGGCTGACAATTCTCTCAGGCTCATTCTTTTTATGGTTTCCTTAGCTGCTTAACCAGGCAGGTAATGTTGGCTAAGTGACTTACGTAGCACTTGCCACTGTATCCTCACTTGGTCTTAACTCAGAGCACCTGTAAAGTTAAGAGATGTACTGTGCACCTTTGATAGCTCCTGGAATTACCCACAACGATCCTCCCAATTCTCACCCTACTACTTGCAACAGTGCTTATTTAGCTTTAGTGGTCCAGTTTGCACTATAAAAAGCAGCGTGCCTTTTGTCTTTCTCTGCCTGGGAGACAAAGAGACTAGCATTCTTCCCTGCCTTAAGCATCCCTGTCAAGGGAGTCCCAGTTGAAGCAATACTGTCTCTGAACCTTTCATAACTGAAGTTTCAATCCATTGGGGGTATGCCTGCTCCATGGGCAAATGCTCCAGAAGAAAATAAGCTTCTGGTTTTACCACCACAACAATATGAAAGGAGTATGTGAACACACTATGTGGAGGCATCTCTGAGAGAAAATGCCAAGTGTATAATAAATAACAAGTATGGTACTGTAAGGTTCTAAGCACCAACAATCCTTTTTTTTTTGGGGGGGGGGTCGGGAACTGCATATAAGCAGCATGAGTCATAAAATCAAAAGAAAAGTAAAACTTAAATCAGGCTACAGAAATGCCTCTTATAAGGAAAATAAACTATTATTAGTGTAACTGGCTTTCCAGTGAACTTTACTCATAAGAAACACATGAAAGGTTAGACTTGAGTGAAGCCACCCAAAAAGCAAAAGTTAAAAGCCAAACGATATGTGCATCTTCACACCTTCCTTAGAGGAATGTGCACGGACACTCTGATTTCTCCTCCAAACAGCTGTGGCATTCATTGTGAGCAGGCATACTACTTCTGGTGGCTTATCCTAGCTCTTTAAGGCTCCGTTCATTCCATATATGTTTGTGGGTATGTACATATATATATTTACAACATGTATTCCTAAGATAAAAGAAAGAGTCACTCTTGTAGGAGAAAAAGGATAATCAGCTATAGATGAGACCAAGGTTTCCATAAAACAGCATGGAGCGTTGCACATGACTGAAATTTGTCGTTTGGTTTGGCCCTGAGCTGTCTGTTGCTCCTGTATCAAGTAGAATTCCAAATTCTCTCCAGGCAGAGGAAAGGTGAGGTGCGTGGCAGTGAGAGAAACGCAGTTCATGTCGCCAGCCCAGTAGTTTGTTCTTCATGAGGCCTGACGGGTAGCTTTCCCCACTTCCATGCTAGGTGCCTGAGAGTTTTTTTCTGTCTCCATCAACTCATCAAAGATTTCCCTTAAAATAAACAAAAAATAAACAATTCAATGAGAAGAAGAAAAGTATAGGTAAGGGAGAAAAACACTACAACAGGAAATGGATACTGATAAAACTTGCATAATCCTACTTGGCACCTAAATTTCATTAAAAATTTTTTAACAGTTTACTTGTTTGAGTATCATAACTCTGGAAGCTGATTTCTGAGAACGAGGAAGGGCCAGACGTTGACTTTGGTAAAAATCCTGTGTAGTTCCCATTCACATGATCAGACCTCATTGACAACTGGAAGATCAACTCATAATAAGATAGGTTCTACCACAGAGCAAATTGTTGCAAATATAATTCTCAGATAACCCTGTGAGATGATAATGTTGAGCTAACAGAGAAATATTCGGGAGTTATAATAAAGTGATGGGAGCATCTCGTTCCCAAGAAGAGTCTACGTAATTTCATCCTGTGCTTCTTCTACCTTCTGGGTTGGCTTCTTACTTGTGCATGTAGAAGAAGATGTAGCCGCTCCGATCTCGGTCACTCTGCACAGTAGCCTCTTGGATTTTAGAGACTTCCAGATCATTGTATGTGAACCATGCCTGTTTCTTAATGTCATACACATCACTTATGTAATGACCTGAAACAGACAAAATCTGAAATTAAGTTTTCTAAAACATGTCACATTTTTCTTGGCTACCAGAAGCCTGAGAAAGAGAAACCCTCAATTATTCTCTGCCTCAGCAATATTTCTTTCTAAAATTCATCTGAAAACTATGTACAGAGAACTTTGTGTGTAGTACTCTACAACAGAGCTGCATTTCAGCTCTTGGCCATATGAGACAGGGTGTCTTTAGAGAGCTTGGCTAACCTTAAACTCACCTATGTACTTTGCAAAGCCTAGAGTTTTTTCTACCATGTAGCTTCTGCCTTTAAGTGTTTGGCACATTTCTTTAAGTGTTTGGTATCATTACAGAAATGTGCCAAACCGCCAGGCAGTGGTGGCGCATGCCTTTATCCCAGCATTCAGGAGGCAGACAGCAAGATCTCTGTGAGTTCAAGGTCAGCCTGGTCTACTGAGCAAGTTCCAAGGCAGCCTCCAAAGCTACAGAGAAACCCTGTCTCTAAAAGCAAATCAAAACAAAACAAGAAATGTTCCAAACCCAGAGAAACATCTATTTACTTTATTTTCTGCATAAATGGCACGCATGTCTCTTCCTCAACCACTTCCTACTCTATTTACTGTGGGAGATGCCTTATTGAACTCAGAATGTTCACTAATCTAGCTAGCTGGCTTTCCCTGGGGATCCCTTGTGTCTTGTCTCCTTTGAGAATAGGCTTTTCTAGACAGGCCACTGGATTTTTATGTGGGTGCTGGAATCCAAATTCTAGTCCTCATGCTTGGAAGGCAAGTATTTTATCCACTGAATCATTTCTCCAGGCCGAGACAACTTTTTAATAATAAATGTATTTGCTCAGAGGAAGCTTCATTATTATTATTATTACTATTATTTTTTTGGTGGTTGACTTTGAACTCAGAGAGATCCACCTGCCTCTGCCTCGGCCTCTGCCTCTGCGTGCTGGGATTAAAGGTGTGGGCCACCAACACCTGGCGACAGTATTTATTAAAGGCATTATTTTTAAAGTTTTTATCTTTTTATAGATGGGATCTCATATAGCTCAGACTCGCCCTGAACTCCATTCCAAGAATGCTGGGATCACAGATGTGTACCCAACTTATCAGTTTATGCAGTGGTGGCGATAAAACCTAGGGCTTTCCACATACTAGTAGTAGGCAAGCATTTTATCAATGACATCCTTAGCTTCTGAAATTTTTCTTTTTCTTTCTTTCTTCCTTTTTGAGACAGGGTTTCTCTGTGGCTTTGGAGGCTATCCTGGAACTACTCTTGTAGACCAGGCTGGACTCAAACTCACAGAGATCTACCTGCCTCTGCCTCCTGAGTGTTGGGATCAAAGCCGTGCGTGCGCCACCACAGCCCAGCTGAAATTTTTCTTAATGTAGCCAACCTACGCCTAACAAAGATAGGCAAGTGACAATAAGAGGGGCAAGGGGGCTACTTTGTTAACAAATGCTGAAATCATGATGTCCATTTACCTGAGGACGAGGTGCTCCCAATGTGACTCACAACACTGATGAGCCGATAGGAATGAGGAAGAGTTCCTGTCTGAAAGCACAAGTGGGTATAACTCTTCATATCAAGAAAAGTAAAATACTGAATTTAAATGTATTAATCAAAAGTGATATAATCTTCAACGCATGCTGTAGGAAGAATCACTTATAATGTTTAAAAACCTTTGTGTATGAATTCTATCTCCAGAAATTATCCTAAGAAAATAATTTAAAAGAAAGCAATATACTTGGGACCGGAGAGATGGCTCAGCATTCAAGAGTACTTCTTATACTTAAATAGGACCCAAGTTCAGTTCCCAGTACTTACACAGGCACCACAACTGCCGATATATCTGCAGCTCCAGGGGATCTGAGACCCACTTCAGGCCTTCACAGAACACACACACATATACACCACACAAAAATAAACCTTCAAAAAAAGCATATTTTGTGTGTATATATATATATATATATATATGTATTATATATGTAATATATACGTATACAGTATACATATATATTAATTATTCACTGTAACATTACAATAATGAGGCTGAAATATTTCCAATAAGAGTTGATTGACTGGTGGAAGATCAATTATACATATTTTTAGCTTTATAGAAAAATTATATCTATTAGCAACATATTAGCTTGCTTTTCATATTCACATGAATGCACATAATAACTACAGCCCTACAGAAAGTTATGATCAGTTACACACTAAACAACAGAAAGAAAAGGAAAGCTGTTGTGTCACTGCAATAATTATGGATAGATTTCTGTATTTTTAAATACTGTATTAAAAATACTGTTAATAAAAAAGTAGTATTCATATACTGTAGACGTCACAATAAAGTCAAACCCAAAGAATGAATACATTATAAGTAAATAAAAAAAAAATTAACATGCTCATAAATTTTGATGAAGTAGTTCACTTCAGGAAGATTATCTTAAGTTGGAAATTCAAAATGTGGAACACTATAATCACACAGTTGCTGAATACACTATTATAATAAAAACTGAAGTTGTATGGTGTAGGGAGAAATCCTGATTGGAGGTACCGCTGACTTAGGTACCAAGCCTAAGTCAGAGTCAAGTAACAAGGGTTTAAGAAGGAGAGAGGCATACAAGGTTTTCTTTCGCCTGGCTGAGCTGACTAGGAAGCATTTTCTGGGTCCATCCTGCTCAGGTGCAAAACAGGTCACTGGCTGCCTTGTGTGAGTACTTTTCCCCAATAAACTACCGTTTATCAACCTATTTCTGACTCTACTTTGTAAACATCTGTAGTATGGGAACACATGCCTGTAACCCCAGGACTCAGAAGGGTCTGAATTCTAGACTAGCTTCACTATATAGCAAGACCCTGTCTCAAAAAACAAAATTCCAACACTCAGGAGGTACAGATATTATTAGGATCAGGTCATTCTTGGGTTACATAACTGGTTCTTGGTCAGTCTGAGCTAAAGGAGATTTTATTAAAAAGATTAAACAAAAAAAAACTTGTAAATATTCTTTTTTTCTTTGGACACAGGATGTTACTCTGTAGTCTACGCTGACCTTGAACTCTTCTTGGTGGATCTTCTTGTCTCAGCCTTCCAAGGGCTGAGGTTACAGGCATAAGCTACTATGTCCAGCTAATTGTCTTTAACAAGCAGAATAAACTTTGCTTAAGTTATAACATTTTTAAGCACATGTGAAGGTGGAAATGACAAAATAATGTATTAATAGCTGTGTGCTAGAATCCCAAGTAATATTTTTTGGGAAAAGCAGTTTTTTTAAAGAAAAGAGAAGGATGTCAGACATGGTGGTGACACACACCTTTAATCCCAGCACTCGGGAGGCAGAGGCAGGTGGATCTCTGAGAGTTCAAGACCAGCCTGGTCATTAAATATAAAGCTAGTTAATTGGCAGAACTAAAGGTAATTTAATATATTTATGTCTTCATTTATAAGGACATACATATTCTTATCTAACAAGAACATAAGACAGCCAGGATGTATTTGTTTTGTTTTAAAGAAATGAAGAGACAAAGATAAGGAAATGAAGGTGCTTTGACAGCAGCTGGGGGGGGGGGGGGTAGAACCGAAGCTGTGTTACACTGAAGGAGCAGAAGGAACCCCGACAGGCTCACCAACCATACCTCAGCATTCCTTTTCAGCTCCTCCGCTTCAGCTTCTGTGTATTCCATATCAAAGACATCCTCATTTCCAGAGTCCTCATCTGAGCCCAGGGAATCCAGAAAAGAGTTGTTAAACTCTGAAGAACAGAAAGAAGGGTCTTGTAAATGTTCTTAGAATAGACATGAGGATGCCCATCTGTAATCCCATCACCAAGGAGATGCAAGTATGAAGACAGTGAGTTTGAGGGCTCTACAGACTATAAAACAAGAACATGTCTCAAAAAACTAAAACCAAAGCAAACCAAAATCCCACCTTGAGGTACTCACCCCATCATTCTAAGAAAACAAAAAATATTTTATTAGGCTGGGTGTTGGTGGCGCATGCCTTTAATCCCAGCACTCGGGAGGCAGAGGCAGGTGGATCTCTGTGGGTTCAAGGCCAGCCTGGTCTATAGAGCGAGTGCCAGGACAGCCTCCAAAGCCACAGAGAAACCCTGTCTCGAAAAACCAAAAAGCATTTATTAACAGGGTTCCAATCCAATTCACTCAGGCACCCTAGGAAGTAACTGATGGGCACCTATGAAAGAAGTGTCCCTTTTCTTGTTTTCTGTATGTCCGGGTATGTTCAGTTGAGTGTGCATGTGTATGTAAGTAGAGGTTAATCTCTGGGGTTGTTCCTTAGAAGCCTTCTATCCTTCAAAAGAAAATTAATCTTTATGTATATGGGTGTTTTGTCTATATGTATCATCTGTGCACCACATGCATGCTTAAGTACCCCCAGAGGCTAGAAGATGACAGATCTCCTGGAATTAGAGTCATACATGGGTGTGAACCTGGATCCTCTGGAAGAAAAGCCAGTGTTCTCAACCATTGAGCCATCTCTAATACTTCTACCTGGATTTTCTTTTTTAAGACTAGGTCTCTCACAGGCTCTGGTGAGACTGTCTGTACCTCCTTGGCACTGTGATTAAAAGTATGCTTTATCTAGTTTACCAGAAGATGCTGGGAAAAGAGTCATCAACAGTTTTACCCAGCTCTGAACCCCCGAGAGCTATAGTAACAACTGGTATGGCAAGGTATGGGCATGGGTGCAATGTGGCATGAATGTTATGGTGGTACCCAACTGTGTTTTAACTGTACTTAAGACACCTACTCCACAGGAGAAAACTCCTATCAGGTACTATAAATCTGACCAAGAACCAATGGTTGGGGAGCTTACAGACACAAGGGGTAAACCTACTATTACTATTTTGCAAAATGGTCATATATCAAACTGTCCTTTAAATTTGTGTGCTCCTGATGGTGGTGGTGCATGCCCTTGGGAGGCAGGGACAGTATTATCTCTGTGAGTTTGAGGCCACCCTGGTCTACAGAGTGAGTTCCAGGACAGCCTCCAAAAAGCTACACAGAGAAACCCTGTCTCCAAAAAACACAACAACAACAACAACAAAAAAGAAGTATCAAAATGGCAACATAGCCAGGACTATAATGATAGGTTTTCCTTCTTCAGTGTGGAAGTCAGCCTAAAATCTCTGAGAGCACATATTGGCATCAAGACATACAGGACTGAGTTCTGTAACATATTGGGACACAACCACAACCACACAAAAAGACAGAAAAGCAGAAGGGTGACTAGCTGTGCAGAGAAAGGGAGTCGGAAGGAGTGGGAGAGGAACAAGAGTGGATAATGGGGGTACATTTGATCAAAATGCATTATGTACATGAAAATGTCACAATAAAAACAATATATGATAATAAATACAAAAAAAAAATTGTGTGCTATCAATCCTCATCAGAGTACCTTCTGTGTGCAGCAGACAGTGGTTAACATAGAAACTCACAACCAGTCAAAACACAAAGAGTCTGTGAACTGTTCAGCCACAAATAGGATATTTACACCACACTGCCTGCTCCCAAGGCTCAGGGACCACCACAGAAGAAGGGACCGAAAGACTAAGAGCCAAAGGTCAGGAAGACTGGAGTGAAACAGTATCTTTGGACATGCCAGGCTGTTCTACTTATGAATTCACAGCAGCTATGATTGCTTGCCCAAGATCAAGTCAATCAACATTACAGCATGGAGTGATGTGGTAGTTTAAATGAGAATGGTGACCATAGGCTCATACGTTTAAATACTTGGCTCCTAGTTGGTGAAACTGTTTGGGAAGGATTAGGAGGTGTGGCCTTGTTAGGAGACATGTCTCTAGGGGTAGGTTTTGAGGCGCCGTTCCCAGTGCGTTGCTTGATCCCTCCTCATGGTCGTAGATCAAGATGTGAGCTCTCAACTGTTTCTGCTGCCATGTCTTTGCTCCACCATCATGGATTCTAACACTTTGAAAGGCTTAGTCAAATTAAATACTATTTATTTATAAATTTATTTATTAGTTTTTCAAGACAAGGTTACCCCCTGTGTAGCTTTGAAGCCTGTCCAGGAACTAGCTCTTGTAGACCACGCTGGTCTCAAACTCACAGAGATCTGTCTGCCTCTGCCTTCCAAGTGCTGGGATTAAAGCTGTGCACCACCACCAACCGGCTTAAATGTTTTCTTTTATAAACTGGTGATGGTATTTTATCACAACCACAGAAACAGAATTATGAAAGGGAAAAGGACTCATAATCACCACTCCTACAGAGGATTTAGGAAATGTTTATGGCTTCTTGGGGAGAAAGAGTCAGTTTTCTTTAAGAGTATGGTTTCAGGTATGTTGATCACATTCTAGCGGATGATCTCACAGCCAGCAATATATGGTTAGTAACATTTGTACTTGATTGATTATATAGAAAAACATGAAGTTGAGGGGGACTACTGTAGGGACATGGTAGATCTGGGAATAATAAAGGGGAGGGTTGGGACATGAATCTGATTGAAATACAATGTTATGAATTCTCCAAAAATAATTAAGCATACACATACTGCACACACATATATGCAGGCAAAACTTTCATACATACCTAAAAAAAAGTATCTAACCACAAGAAATGAATGAACTGAAAAACAATACATAATTCTACAGATAATCCAAAGAAGGCAAACCAGACAGGCCTCTAGCCCCAGCACTCAGGAGGCAGAGAGATCGCTGTGTTCAAGGCCAATCTGGTCTACATAGAGTTCCAGACCAGTCAGGGTTACATAATGAGACCCTATCTCAAAACAAAACAAAACAAAAAGGCCACGGGGTGGGAGGGGTGGGGGGGTTAAAATATAATACAAAGGTGGAAATTCAACTTTAGTTCTTAAATCTTACCTAAGACACACATTCAGTATACCTCTCCCCCTTTTTTTCAGTTAACAATGTATTTCCTTTGGAACAAATCATCTTGATTAATTGTTCTACATAAAAAAATTGCAAATAAGTAGTTCTTTGCTTATGACAAACTAAAAATATAAATATAAATACATTTTACTATATGTATCCTACTCTATCTTTCTGTGCCTTATTCCTGTGAGATAGGGTCTCTCTTACTGAATCTAGAGGTAGGCTGGCAGCAACCTCCAGTTTTTTTAAGCTTTTATTTATTGCCGGGCGTTGGTGGCGAACGCCTTTAATCCCAGACACCCTGGTCTACAAGAGCTAGTTCCAGGACAGCCTCCAAAGCCACAGAGAAACTGCTTCCATATATATCTGCACACCAGAAGAAGGCACCAGATCTCATAACGGATGGTTGTGAGCCACCATGTGGTTGCTGGGAATTGAACTCAGGACCTCTGGAAGAGCAGCCAGTACTCTTAACCTCTGAGCCATCTCTCCAGCCCCCAACCTCCAGTTTTCATCTCTCCTCCCCACCCTATGAAACCAGGATTACAAGCACATGCATGAGCAGGCCTGGTTCCCCCCGACCCAAGACAGTGTAGCTTTGTAGACCAGGCTGGCCTTGAACTCACAGAGATCCTGCCTCTGCCTCCCGAGTGTTGGGATCAAAGGCATGCACCACCATAGCCCGGCTAGGCCTGGCTTTTTTTTTTTTTAACATGGGTGCAGGAATTCACACTTAAGTCTTCATACTTGTACAGCAAGTTGCCTCACTAACGGAACTATCTTTGTTTGTCCCTCCATTCCCCTTTGTGTCAATCTTAGGCTACTTGGCTCTGTCAACTGACTTCCCCAGAGTGAGCTGTTGGAAAGTCAATTGCAGGATTGAAGCCACATATTCTTGTAGAAATCTTAGAAATGGTACTATAAATCTTTTATTAAATAGATGTTTCGTCTTGCTGTTTTGTTTTAGATTAAAAACATTATTTTGATATGGATTTAAATAGTAAAATAACTTAAAAATATAAGTATATACTTTTTATATTTACTTGTTATATGTGTTTGGATCTTTTGCCTGCATGTATTTATGTGTGCTATGTGCATGCCTGGTGCCCACGGAAGTCAGAAGGAGATGCTGTTTTCTATGGAACTGGAGTTACGGATGGTTGTAAGATGTTATATAGGTGCTGAGAATCAAACTTGGGACCTCTGGAAGATATATAGTTATATGTCTGGAAGACATATAGACAACACAGTAATACTATATTGTACACACACCATATAATATATAATATATAACAATATATATTTATTATAAATATAAAAATAAAGCTAAAGGAAATATTTTAACAGTGATTTTCTCAGACAGAAACTGATACACTGGTAACTTCTAAGGTTCTTTCTCTGTACCTGGGAGTTGTTCAAATTTGATTCTATATTAAAACGAACAACAGCAACAATGAAAAAAAAAAAAAACAAACCCAACACTTTAGTGCTGGGAATGTAGCTCAGTTGACGGAATCTTTGCTTAACACACATAAGGTCCTGAATTTGATCCCCACTACTACCAAAACTAGTAAGCGTTGTATGCCTGTAACCTCAGCACTCAGGAGGAAGATCAGAGTTCAAGGCCATCATTGGCTACACAGAGAGTTCTAACGATAGATAAGGCTAAATGAGACTTTGTCTTAAAAAATGTTTATAATGTCTATTTTCCATTTAAAAATGCAATTAAAACCAGGCAGTGGTGGCACACACCTTTAATCCCAGCACACAGGAGGCAGAGGCAAGAAGATCTCTACGAGTTGAGGCCAGCCTGGTCTATAAAGTAAGTTCCGGGACAGCTAGGTATGTTATACAGAGAAACCCCGTCTCGAAAAACCAAAACAAAAGCAACAACCCAACTGCAAAATAAAAATGTAATTAAAATAGTCTCCATACCTTGAAGACTTAACTCTGTAGCCCTTTTGAGGTCATCATCTTCCTTCTGTTCCCAAGCCTCCTAAAGAGATAAGAATAAAACTAAGGTTTTAAAGAGGTATTCCTTAGACACAACTGATGAAGGCAAAACAAGCTTCTTTGGGGGCATTTGCTCAACATGCTTTCTCTAACTTTACAGATAAATATTTGGACTTTGACCTATGAGGAAGGTGGAGTAGAAGCTCATTTCTTTTTCAACACTGTTATCTTAAAAACAAACAAAAAACTCCACTAGTCTACTGACTTTCCTGCAAGCATTCATTCTAGGGAGTCTTACTAGCTCTTGCTTGTTTTTCAATGCTAGGGATTGAACCCAGGACCATGCATAACACCAGGCAAGTGCACTACATTCCCAGTCCCATGAAATATTCATTAACATGATTTGGATTATCTTAGCTCAGGCAATCATAAAAACAGTACCTCTAAGTCAAGTATCTTAGATGATACAACAGGTCAAATCAACTAATATAAAGAGGTAAAAACTAAGCCTGGTGGTGGCGGCACATGCCTTTAATCACATACTTGGGTGGCAGAGGCAGGTGGGTCTCTGAATTTGAGGCAATCCTGGTTTAAAAAGTGAGGTCCAAAACAGCCTGGGCTGTTACACAGAGAAACTCTGTTTCCAAAAACCAACCAATCAACCAAAAGTAAAAATTGGGGATTCAGAGAGATGACTCAGTGGTTAAGAACACTTTCTGCTTTTGCAGAGAACACAGCTTCAATTCCCAGCACACACATGTTAGCTCACAACTACCTGTAATTTCCAGTCCCACACACCCTGAATGATGCCTTCTGGCCTCAGTGAGCATCAGCCAGTCACATGGTCCACATATACATACGCAGACAAAATGTACACACACATAAATTAAATCTTTAATGTAAAATTGAGAACTAGGGATACAGCCTAGAGTAGGCAATGCTGTTGGTTGATCCCCAGCATTACAACAAACACTGTGCACAGACTTGCTATATAATGAACTGAGAAATATTTTATTACCAGAACTAAAAATAACTAGATTTTAGATACTTTTGAGGAATTGTGGTCAAATAATTATAGTAGATATAAGAAAATAACCAAACAAATATACTACCTTAATATATATCACAAAATCACAGTGAAGTACTTATTGACAGCTTGCAGAATAAAGGTTACATGGAACAACCTTTAGTATCCCATTTTGCTTTAACACGCATCAACTACAGCACATAACAACTAATTTTTTATTAATAAAAAATCTACTAATTTAACTGTTCATTCAAACCCAAAACATGCCCAAAGATTTTTTTTTTAAATTATCATTCTTATTAATTGTAGTAACTAACTGTACATAAATAGCCAGGGGCAAGGCCTGACACACAGTAAACTCTTGGCACATTAGTTATTGTGACTTGGTGTCTGGGAAGCATGAAGAGGCGACAGAAAGTGTCTTACTTGTTCTTGAAGGCTCTGAGCCAGTGCTTGCTGAAGCTCCTGCTCTTCTCTTTCACGCTCCATGTCATACTGCTGGAGCCAATCAACCTCTCCCTGAGAACCTTCTGGAGTTTTGTTTTCTTTATTCTCATCACAGTCTTTTGTTATCTCAGTAAAAGAAGCAGGATCTGAAGAAGCAGAACATTATTTTGGGGAAAAAACAAAACAAAACAACACCTGAATTTTGTGAAATCTAGTGACACCTACTGTTGAGAGGTCACTTGCCCTCATCTAACACTTTAGGTTTAGGGTCTAATGTAGCTCAGGCAGGCCTAGAACTTGCTATGTAGCTGAGGATGTCCTTGGCTCTGACTTCCCACCTCCTTGCTGGGACTATTGGTATATATCAACACGCTTGGATTTATGGGGTGCTGGGGATTAAAGCCAGGGCTTTGTTCATGGTAGGTATGCATGCTACTAAACAAGCTACACTTCCAGCCCTTACAACTTTTTGGGACCAACAATTTCATCTTCCCACATCTATATCAGAGTTTCTCAGCCCCAGCACCATTAATAATTTGACTGGGGTACAAATGAGGCCTTTGGGGAGTGGGAAATGGAGTGCATTCTGTGAATTTTAGCAGGCTCGACCAGGGATGTTACTGAGTCACCTGACAGCAGGAATTAATTATGGAATTATTCCCTCTCAGTTATGGAAAAGGGAGTGCTGATGACAAAAGGTGTCAGTTCTCTACTTGTTACCTTGTTGCTTTGCGTCCGTGTGGTGTCATCATCCCCCCCCCCCCCCAAGCTGAGGACCCAATGTAGGGCTTTGCGCTTGCTAGGAAAGCACTCTACCACTGACCTAAATCCTTAACCCACTTCTCTCTACTGTGACAACCAAAAATGAAAGACACTGTCAAATATTTCAGGGCAGAGGAGAATGACCTTGATTTAGAAGTACAGTAATAGTGCTGAATACAAAGGATTAATATGAACAAGTGATATTTATTAAACAGTGACTAATAAGAACAAGGGATACATTAGAGACACTTGTACTAGGAGGGAATAAATACCTCATAAGAACCCCATCATTTGTTTCTTGTTAAACTGAGGACACACTAATTATTTTTTGCATGCATATAAAATAATTCAAAATTGAAGATGCTCTGACTCTACAAATCTAGAAAATAATTTTGTGATATCCCACCATGACTTCCATTTCTAAACCCAAGGGCTTGGATTATTTAGAAGCCACACGTCAGTAAAGGCTCTAGAACCAAGTTTTGTGTTACAGAGACTTATCTTGATGAAACCTACCTGGCTCAGTGATTGTTTTGGGTTTCTCAGTCTCCATAGCATCTGGATTTTCAGGCATTTCTTGAACGTCATCCTCTGCAAATCCAGTGTCAGGGCTGCTGGTTGGCTTATCGTCATCTTCATGGCTGAGCACAGGTGAAGCTTCTCTCCTACTTATCTCTAACACAGCTGCCAGCACCTCTTCCTCACTCATTCTGTCAAATCCTGAGCTCTCTAATTCGGACTTCCCGGGCTCTAATCTGCATAATTTTGAATCCTGAAGAAGAGAATTACTTTTACAAGAAGCAAAAGTGCCTATCAATATATCTAATGTTCAACACTAATATGTATCTAATACACCCCAGACTGTAAAGTGGAAATTTGCAGGCTGGAAGATGGCTCAGCAGTCAGCATTTATTCTTGCAGAGGATCAAGTTCAGTTCTCAGTTCCCAAGACTGAGAACTTCTGTCTTTTGAGAGCACCCCCCACCCGTAATTACAAAATGAGTGTGGAATTAAATTTGTGTGCTACCACACCTAGTTTATGTGGTGCTGGTGCTCACACCCACAGCTCTATGTATGCTTGGCAAGCACTTTACCAGCTGAGCTACAACTCCAAGCCTAACAGTTTTTCTTGATTATGACAGGTGCAAAGTGTACCCCTTATAGAAACTTGGAAGATGGACACTGCTATAATAAAGTTACTCAAAACAGTAAGTCAACTGGGTATGGTGGTGCATGTTCATAACCCTAGCACTTAGGAGACAGAGTCAAGAAAACTGCTGTAAGATCCAGGCCAGCCTGGGCTACCACATGAGATCCTGTCTCAAAAAGACAGAGATTAGTCAGAGATACTATTTTGGTCCAGATACACATGGATTATACTGTAAACATTCCGTGAATATTCAATTATAAATGTTAGCTGGTCCTTTTCTTTTTTTTTTTTAAATTGAGGCAGAGTCTGATTATATAGACTTGACTTGCCTAGAACTTACTATAGTGGATCTTCCTGACCCTGGAACTTACTATATGGGCCAGATTCACAGACATCCACCTGCTTCTTCCTCCTGAGTACTGGGATTAAAGGCATAAACCACCTAGCAATGTTGTCTAGTCTTAGATGAGAAAAATAAAAGCAACACAAGATTATGTAAATAAAAAATATATTTCTGCATAACTGTCATTCTAGAATTCCTGGCTTTCTTTTCATATTTAAGGGAAGCAACCACAAACTTCCTTCAGCTTTACTGTATGATGGGACAACTCAGAATACAAGTAACTACTAGCTCTATAGAATGATGTGTACACCTGGAGAAGCTTACTTTTTTTAAGCATTAATTATTAAGGACTGCAATAGATAGTGTAGCTGTGTCTTCATGATTCACTCCACCCTTGCATAAGGAACTGGGGACAGAACCCAGAACCTTACACATGCTAGCAAAGTATTTCACCACTAGGCCAAATCTCTAGTAAAATTAATTTCTTTAAAATTAAATTGCTTTTTTTTTTGGAAACAGTGTCTTGCTATATAGACTAGGCTGGCCTTGAACCTAGAATCTGTGTTGGGACAAGCATGTACCATTCTGCTCAGACAAAGACTGTTGTTTTTGTTTATTTTTCTAGAAAAAGCACTCTCTAAAACTAGAGTCTCAAACAGAGGCATTAAGTTTACGATCTGTCTTGTGAGTTTCTTTAATTTGCTGAGGCAGTTGTTTGCAGAGATGAACCATTACTTACTTTTTCCACATCTTCCGGCTGCTGCTCATTGCCTGACACATCACAAAGCCTCTGGCCGAGGGCCACAGAGCGTTTTAGTTCATCCTCACTGTCAGAATCAAGGCATGAAGTAAAGGAGCTTTTGGATTTGAAGGTGAATTTCCTGTAATTATATATGAAAAAGTCTTGTCTTTTTTTTTTTTTTTTGGGGGGGAGCTTGTTTTTGATTCATAAACACCAAAACAAAAAGCTTTTCCATTATGGAAAATTATTTAACCGAGAAAATTATGTATCAAAAGAAGTATACTTAGGTATTACTTTTGATAACTTAAAGAGCCATGGTTTGTTTGTTTGTTTATTTATTTATTTTGGTTTTTCGAGACAGGGTTTCTCTGTGGCTTTGGAGGCTGTCCTGGAACTAGGTTGTAGACCAGGCTGGTTTCCAACTCACAGAGATCCGCCTGCCTCTGCCTCCCAAGTGCTGGGATTAAAGGCGTGCACCCCCACCGCCCGGCTTCATCAGTAAACTTTGTACCTTTTTCTTCTAATGACCAATTTCAAATGTAGTTTGTTACTGTTTTATAAAGATTCTATTGAGTTCATGAAAAAGCAAGAGCAATTAATCCAGTCTGGTTTTTTTTTTTTTTTTTTTTTTTTTTTTGGTATTGTCCTTTTATAGCCCTGGCTATAAAGCAGCATTTTTTACAAAAATATATGAGAGCCAATTTTTGATCTTTTAAATTATAATCTGTGTACTTTAAAAATGACAGCAAGAATTCACTTAATTTATCATTTTGAGGTCAGGCTTTTGGCAACCTCTCTAACTTCAAGAACAGACATTCCAAATTGAGGGGTGGGGTGTAGTTCTGAGAAGGCAGTTCTAAATCCCAACACAGTAATAGGACACGATGTATTTCCAATACTACAGCAATTACATAAGAAAAGAGAGCTATGAAATGTGGGAGGAGAATCATAAAGGGGGAGAAAAATAACTAAAAGTTGTTTGATGTAAAGGCAAATAGTCAATATTCAAAAACACGGAAGCTGGGAATGATAGTGCACACTTGTAGTGGCAGCAGGAGGGAGACTGAGGCAATGAAACTGCAGATTTGAGACCAGCCTGGGTTATATAACGAGATCTTGTGTGAAGACCAAACACAAAACTACAAACAAACAAAACCCAGTGCAGTGCTGATATTTAGAATGTGGACTCACTTTTCCTCTGTAAAAAGATTTTGTATATACATGCCTATATGTCTATGTGTCAGTGTGCCATCTATCTGGGCAAGACAAATGTGTGGAGGTACCCAAGGCCTCTAGAAGACAGTTCCAGATCTCTGGTTGGGATTCTGACAAGGGTGCTGGAGTCTGAACTTCAATGCTCTGGAAGAGCAAGAGTACTTTTAAACACGAAGTCATCTTTCCAGCCCCATAATGTAAATTCTAAATCATTAAGAAATATGTAACTGTCTCAAGGTGTGTAAAAATAGCATAACATTATGAGCGTGGTGACACATGCCTTTAATATCTTGGGAGGGAGACATATGGAACTCTGAGTTGAGGCCAGCCTGGTCTACAGAACAAGTTCCAAGACAGCCAGGGTCACGAAGATAAATAAATGAGAGAGAACAGCATTAACACATTTTTAGAAAAATTCTATCCAATATGGTTAAAATTTTAAGAGATAAATGCTTTAAAAGGCAAGTTTCAGAAGTGTTAATGCTTATTTATTTATGTGAAACAATATTTTTTAAAGATACCAGATAAAGTGCTACTGCACTAGTGGAGGAGTGGCAAAGATCAAAGAATAAGAACTTCCTTCGGTGGAAGTTAAGGTAAACTTATATGCTATAGGACAAAAATGAAAATCTGAAAAACACAGTTAATTTAAATGTGAAAACTGTAAATAAATAGGCATGGGCACCAAAGGGAAGAAAAGGGGGTTCAATGAAAATCAAGAGGACAGCACAAAAATGCACATGGCCAGTGTCACACATCCGAGAAGCTGATTGGAGTCAGGATGCCCAGTTAGATACCTGAATACTGCCTATGATATGCTTATTAGGTTTTCAGTATAACTTAGAAATCACCACATTAGCCCCCTACCAATGGTTCCGCATAGTCTCCTGTAGTCCAAGCTGGCCTCCTCGTTACCTCCAGGTGCTGGAACTGATTACAGATGTATGCTACCTCTCCCAGCTCCAATTAGCTTTCTTAATTCATTATTTTTTATTTCATGCCAATTAAGCAAACCTCAGGTAAATACTTTGTTGAAGGGGGTGACACCTAACTATGTTTTTACCACAGTCATTGTGACAAAGAATATTACAGAAGAACCAATGGTAATCAGTTCAGAACTTAGCCTCTTTTAAATTTGATCTGCATGATGGTCTTATAGGCCTTATAATCATCTTTTATTAGCTAACTTTCAAATTCTCATCCCAGTAGACCCCAGGAAACTGATGAGCATGCCAAGGTACAATAATGTCAAACAAAACCATTTGTTTCTTTGAAGGACTGTGGTTTGGTGCATAGGATGCAGGCCATGAGTAATGACGATGTTTACAGAAGGCATCCTGCCTTAGCAGTGAAAAAGGTTTGTCCTGTAAATGTATCACTTGCTCACTTCCTAAGCAGCTAAGTAGCATTGGTGCATTTGTATCTGGAAAGCAAGGAAGAGTATTCAGATTGGTACATTTCAGATTTCTAGTCATGTTAATCATCTGGCTTTATTGCACTGAAAAACAATTATAGGAGGAAAGGAAAACAGTTTTTCCTAAATGTCATTTTATGGATACACAAACCCCAAACAAGCTTATAAGAACAAAACTGTTTCTCCTAAAGAGACTTTGGGACATCAAATTTTTAGAAAAATGTATTTTGACGTCAATTAAAACAGTCTAATTTAAAAAAGGGTCTAAATCAGTAATTTCCAGTGACATTTTAGGAAGTACAATTTTAAAAAGTGAGGAGCAAGACCAGAAGAGAATGTGCTTTCCTATTTAAACTTTTAGTCCTTAAAAATGTGAAGTATTTGCAAAATAGCTGCAATCCAGTGCCTGTTCGTTTCCTTTCTGGATTCCTCCTGCCAGTGTCAAGGAGATAAGCTAGCAATAGGTGGGGTCCTGTGCCTACTTGAGGAAGGGGGCTTCAGACAGGAGTTATTTCCTTGAATATTATAGTCAGTTCTTAAGAGTTTTAGGATGAAAATAATGCTATTAGCAAAGTTTTTTTTTTTTTTTTCAAAGAAATTTAAAAACAAAATCCTGGAACCTTATTTGACTGCTAAGACCTGAGCGCTAGGTCATATCTAAACCAGAGTAATATACTGAGCACCTGGCATGCAAAAAAAAAAAGAAGAAGAAAAGAGAAAGAGTAACCTTAGAGATTAGGGAGAGCCCAATGCATAGAAAGAGAAAATTTGGGTACATAAGAAATAGAACTCACTTTGAAGGTGTAGAAGGGCTGGTGATGCAGGAATTCACCATTTGAGAGGCTTTCAATGGTCTAGAACTATCAGAAAATTGGAAAATATGTAATGTATACAAGTACATCATTAAAGGTGGATATTGAACTGGTACAGTTAATTACTCTATAAGTCTCTTCTTATACCCTCCTTAAAAGCAAGCAATACTTTAAAATAACTAACCATAAAAGCTCAAAAGGGAAAATGAATTATCATCTCTAGCTCTTCTTGATCTAATAATTGAAATAAACAGCTTTACAAATGACAAAGTATAACACCTATGAGAAGAACAACTTGAGGAAAACTATTTCATCTTCTTACTTTTCCTTTTTTTTTTTTTGTTTTTGAGACACGGTTTCTCTGTAGCTTTGTAGACTGTCCAGGAACTCAACTGGATACCAAACCCACAGAGATCTGTCTGTCTCTTCCTCCTGAATGTTGGTTTTAAAGGAGTGGGCCACCACCACCCAGCCTCATCTTATTTATTTTTGAGCAATAAAATAATAGCTCTAGGGCTGGAGAGATGGCTCAGAAGTTAGGAGGACTGGCTGCTCTTCCAGAGGTCCTGAGTTCAATTCCCAGCAACCACATGGTGGTTCACAACCATCTGTTATGAGATCTGGTGCCCTCTTTTGGTATGCAGATATACATGGAAGCAGAATGTTGTATACATAATAAATAAATAAAATCTTTAAAAAAAATAATAGCTCTCAATTTATTGAGATTTCCTAGATGGCAAACATTGTATGTACTACTGCATTTAATGGCTACAACAAAATTTTTTCCCAAAGACAAATCAAACTTTCAAGTTCTTAAAGTCCTAAAAATGCATACAAAGACTGTCAGCTTCATTTCAGATCAGTGATCACAAATATATGTAATACATTCAGAGGCACTAACAGCTCTACCAGTAGAGGGCAGTTTGTATTAAGTAAAAACATTCTCTTCAACTAAAAACAGAAAGAAAAACAATTACAAACACTAAAGACTCCCTGGACACATGCTTTGTTAGTAGATCCAAGACTTTAGTGTAAACTTACACGATGTAATTTATAAACCCAAAGATAAATATCTTATAAAACTGCATCAATTAATTTTGGGAAATGTTCATTTATTTTCTGTAATGTCTAATTCTGCTTTAGCCAAGACACTGTCCTTCCTTGTTCTTTTTGGAGATAAGAGTATTATTATGTAGCCCAGGGTGGCCCCAAACTTTCTACATAGCCCAAATTAGTCTTAAAGCATTTGTCTGCTTTAGGCTGCAATTACAGGCATGTGTTACCATGCCCAGTAAGACTCGACCTTTTTGGTTTCTAACAGGAAAATCAATCTTCTTTGGTCCACAGTGAAATTAAGGATTTGGACAAAATTTTCAAAAAATTCTTTTCACTACTACAGTTCCAGGACTTTGTCAAATTACTGTTCAAGTACAAAAAAGAACTGTAGCATCCATTTCTAAGTAAGAGCACACATGCAGGAGAGAGCATGGCATTCAGATGTCCTAAGGTCCCCAGCATGCATGTGTTGGCAAAGCAAAATCTAAAGCAAAGTGTTTCTTTCTCTGAAACATTTCTAGGAGTCTCCGAAGTTATTTACATTGGGCTTAATTCTCACTTATAGAATAAATAATCTGTTAGGGGTGGAGCTCTAGTAAAACATTTGATTTCTCAAATTTGCATGTCCCACAGAGCGGAGGCATTTGTTAAGAACATTGATCCCCAAGCCCTATGCAGATCTAATAAAACAAAACCTGTAGAGATGAACACAGAAATGAATACTTTTAGTGTCTAGGTGATTCTTAAGATTACCACATTTCACTTATATTCCCAAGTATACCAATGATCTTTTTTTTTTCTTTTGTGTTTTAGAGAGTAGGAACATTCCCTCAAAAAGTATCATATTATAACATGCATCTATTTAGTTTGGAAGAATTGTGTAAACATTTTTCTTTAATTACTTCTCTCAGACATCAGTTTAATACTAAAATTCCAAAATAATGCAGAATTGAAATCTCCTTTTGGGTTTATTTTTTTCTGAGAGTTGTTATCTAGTTTGGTCAATCTCTTAAATATTACAACCCATTTCAAAAGTACAGGTAAAAAGTATTGTCTCTTACATTGCCATATGTGCACTCCATCCAAGAGTAAAAGGTGGTTTTGTATTTTCAGTGCAATGAGATGACAGGGTCAAGTATCTTGGAATGACCACTTGTTGTCCTATTTTGTTGTTAAGTGAGAGAGCCACATTGAAGCTGTACCGTTTCAAATGAAGAATGAGGACCCTGAAAAACAGAAGAGAATGACCCCGCTAATTCATTTGGAACACAGGTTTCTCTTTTACAGTCATCACTCTAATCATGTCAAATTTGACTTGGAGAATACTGTTGGTCATGCTGGGTGGTAGTGGCCAAGCCTTCACTCTTAGCACCTGGGAGACAGAGGCAAGTGGATCTCTATAAACTCAAGGCCAAGCTGGTCTACACTGAGAGTTCCAGATCAGGCAAGGCACAGTATCAAACACTCCCTCACTCCACCCATACCAACATACTTGGTCAAACTAAACATATTTTAAGAAACATTTAGTAAATATTTGCTGTGACAAAGGTGTTAAGATAGATACAAATAAAAACCTTGGATCTGGTGATTAATGAAGTTTAGATAAAGTATGTCTAATGCTTCTGGAAACCCTCCTACCAATAAACAACAGTAGATTTGTAAAATTTCAAATGTGTCTATTAATCTTTGGTTAACCTTACTTATTTGAGTGCTATATATTTAAAAAGAGGTCATATATGACCATGTGGTAAAATGTCTATAATGGTGACCAACATTATATTGAGGGTTTCTTTTATTGGGGGTGGGGGGGATCTAGGATCTTAAAGCAGTCCTTTGCACCTGCATGCAGACTAGTAGTCATGGAAACTTGGGCTGAGCAGGGTACTGTCGAGTGGACTCTGCCAGGTGGCAGGGGCAGACTACCATAATGCCTGAGTCCTTACAGCCTCATATGAGGAAACTGTTTCTATTCTTTCTGCACAGGCCTTACCACAGAAGCCCAAGCTCAAAAGCTTGCGAGTTGAAATTATTGATTATGTTTCTCTTTATGTGGGGTAGGGCTCTAATTCTAATTTGAATTCAGAAGGCTGAAGGAGAAGAATAGTGAGTTTAAGACCCATCTTAGTGACTTAGGGTGACTGTATCTTAAGATAACAACTTAAAGAGACTTTGGCTATAGCACATGGGTAGAATGTTGCCTTATATGCATGAAGACCCTGGGCTAGACTGCCAGTACCAAAACAAACAAAAACAAATAAATAAACAAATGAATAAATAAGCTAAACTTCATGTTCTCGTAATTTATAATGTAAAAGGATATACTGATCCAGTTGCTGCCAAACTCATTTCAAAAAACCTGAACCAAAATAAAAACAACATGAAAAGAAATGATCATCATAATTACTGATCTATAAAGATGAGGCAGACTAAAAGTGAGTAAGTTTTTTTTTTTTTTTTTTTTTGGTTTTTCGAGACAGGGTTTCTCTGTGTAGCTTTGGAGCCTATCCTGGCAATCACTCTGGAGACCAGGCTGGCCTCGAACTCACAGAGATCCACCTGCCTCTGCCTCCGGAGTGCTGGGATTAAAGGGGTGGGCCACCAATGCCGGGCTAAAAGTGAGTAAGTTTTAATAATAAATGTCTTTCGATAATGAAAGCAGGGCTGGGAGGTGGCCTAGTGGCACAGTGATTGACTGGCTTGTGAGAGGCCCTGGCTTCAATTCCAGCACTAGAAAGACCAAAAAGAGAGCAGGAGAGATGGCTCAGAGGTTTAAGAGCACTGACTGCTCTTCCAGAGGTCCTGAGCTCAATTCCCAGCAACCACACGATGGCTCACAACCATCCGTAATGAGATCTGGTTCCCTCTTCTGGCCTTAGAACACTGTATACATAATAAATAAATAAATCTTTAAAAAAAAAAAGAAAGATAAAAAAGATAAAACAGATAGAGAACTATAGACTTAATGGCACACAATTGTAATCCTAGCACTTGGGCAATAAAGGCAAGAGGACTACTTCAAATTGAAGATCAGCCTGGGCTACAGAATGAATTCCAGGATACACTGGGCAACAAATTGAGACTGTCTTAAACCAAACACACACGAACACACATGTAAAATAAAAGTAGACAGTGATTTGTAAGACTGATAGTACTTCAGATTCAGTGGCATCTATTTCATGTTAACAAATTAGAACAAATTAACGCTTAATACAAGTACAATACTGGTGGGAAAAAAGATCTCTTTTCCCCAGTTCTTTCTCTTATTTACACTAATTTGAAATTTCTTATTTTATGGGATGGATGTTTTCCTTCCGTGTTAAGTTCTGTGCACCACTTGTATGCCTGGTGGTGGAGGGTGTCAGAAAAGGGAATCAGTTGTTAACTCTCATGGGAGGCCTACCCCCTTCTGAAAGGAGACGAAGTGGATTGGTTGGGGTTGGGAGTTAGAAGGGAGGTGGGGGTAGGAATCAGGAAGAGAGGAGGGAGGGGAAATTGTGGGTCATATGTAAAATAAAGGGAAAAACTTTAATTAAAAATTTAAAAAAAAAAAAAAAAGGAAAGGGAAGTCAGATCTTCTGAGACTGGAACTAAAGATAGTTTTAAGCCACCATGTATGCTGGGTATGGTAGTCCATGCTTTTAATCTCAGCACTCAGTGGCAAGCAGATCTCTATGCGTTCAAGGGCAGCCTGGTCTACATAGTGAGTTCCAGGACAGGAAGGGCTATGTCGAGAGACCCTATCTCACAAACAAAAACAAAAGTGGGTGCTGGGAATTGAACCCAGACTGTCTAGAACAACAGCCAGTGCTTTAACTGCTGAGCATGTCTCCAGAACCAACTGCACAGATAGTGACAGATAGGAGTAACCAATCTTTGGTCTTCAAATTTCTTCTTCCCTCTTATTGCCTCATAACATTTATAAATACAGTCTCTTAAAAATAAACAAACATAAAAACTATTGCTATGGCCTATAAAGTGATTTCTCTGAAACCTTATTTTCTAGAAAGGAATGGATTACAGAATATAAAAGAACTTTTCCCTGGGGCCTAGATTCCCGGACTCTACATTTACAGAAAATTGAAGCTAATAAAAGAAAGCAAAGCTTTCTGGTGCAGGCAGAGTGCCACATAAATATTTAATGTTCATAATCATCTTGTTTGTAGCAGAGAGATCCAACCCTGGGAAGCACTACAGGCTATCTTGTAACCACATCATAATTTCTGAAACTAGCTTTGTCTTATGTACAATGTAACTTATTTCATTCAAGGCAGAAAATTCATCTGATCACAGGAAATCTAATAACTTATACGATCTTTTGAAAAAAGAATAGCAAAAGTGCAGTAAAGTTGCTCCTCCTATGTCCATATTGTGGCTGCAGCACATTTTTTTTTTTAATGCATAAAACAGGGAAACTATAGCAAAAACAAATGACATCCCTAATGCAAAAATTTGAAATCAAATATGCTCCCAAATCTGAAACTTAGGAAACTTACATAATGCTACAGCGGAAAAATTCTTTACCTATTTTATGTGACAAGATGCAGGCAAAAAGCAGGGACACTAAAAATATCACATAAAATCATCTTTAGACTATTTTAAAGGACATATGATATGTGAATGAACTTTAGCGCTTAGAACTGCACAGCTCCCACCCTTATATCTCATTATATATATGTAAGTATTACAAAACATTAGGTACTTTTGGCTCAAGTATTTCAGAAGGGATCCTCAAACTATAATGTTACAATATTACCAAAAAGAAAACTCTAGAACCATGGCAAAAATCAAAAACACCAATGACAGGTTATGCTGGAGAGATGTGGAGAAAGGGGAACACTTCTCTACTGATGGTGGGAGTGCCAACTTGTACAACCACTTTGCAGATCAGTATGGCGACTCCTCAAGAAAATGGGAATCAGTCTACCACAAGATCCAGCAATTCCACTCCTAGGCATATACCCAAAAGAAGCACATTCATACAACAAGGACATCTGTTACACGATGTTCATAGCAGCATTATTTGTAATAGCCAGAAACTGGAAGCAGCCTAGATGCCCCTCAACCGAAGAATGGATAGAGAAAATGTGGTACATTTACACAATGGAGTACTACTCAGCAGAAAAAAATAATGGAATCTTGAAATTTGCAGGAAAATGGATGGAACTAGAAGAAACCATTCTGAGTGAAGTAACCCAATCACAAAAAGACAAACATGATATGTACTCACTCATATGTGGATTTTAGACACAGAGTAAAATTACCGGCCTACAAACCACACTGCAAGAGAAAGTAGTAAACAAGGAGGACCCTAAGAGAGATACACATGGTCCCCTGGAGAAGGGGAAAGGGTCAAGATCCCCTGAGCAAATTGAGAGCATGGGAAGAGGGGGGAGGGAGCTGCAAGAATGATAAGGGAAGAGGAAGAATGCAGAGGTCATGAGGGAGCAGAAAGGTTGAGTCAGCAGAAGAATAGAAGAAAAGATATATGATACGTAGGGCTTTAGTTGTGGTGTGGCAGGGGAGGACAGGAGGGAGAAGGGAACTGGGATTGTCATGTAAATCAATTTTGTTTCTAATTCAAATAAAACAATGATAAAAAATAAAACAACAAACAAACAAACAAAAAAAAAACTCTAGAGCCAGTGTTACTAACTGCGTCCTCTTTTTGTTATCTTCTTGAGACTCAAAGACCACTTTCTCTACAGTATTCCAAATTCTCTTTTATCCTCTATATTTTAATTTTTATGTGTATGGGTGTTTTGTCTGCATGTATACCTAGGTATATTGGTTCTCTTGGAAATGAAGTTACAGACAGTTGTAAGCCATCAAATGGATGCTAGGAAATGAACCCAGGTCCACTGCAAGAGCTTAGTTAGCCAATGCTTCTAACTATTGAGTTGTTTCTCCAGTCCCCTGATGGACGATGTCCTCTGTATGCGGTTTCTATGTGTTCCTCTGATTAGTTGATGAATAAAGCTGTCCCGGCCAACAGACAGGCAGAATTTAGCTAGGCAGGAATTCCAAACTAAGAGGCAGAAAAAAGAAAGACAAGGAACAGATGCATGTAGCCACTGCATGAAGTCACTGGTGAGTCAAAAGGCCGGGAGATGACCAGTAAGCCAAAGAAATCACATGGTGATACATAGATTAATTAATAGTAATGGGCTAATAATTAAGAGAGAGCTAGCCTATAAAAAGCCTAAGTCAATGGCCAAACAATTATAAATACATATTCAGTTCCTAAATGGTTATTTCATAAGCAGCTGCCAGGACACAGCAGGCAGAGAGAAACTGGTTTAATAGGACTGAGATAGATAAAGTCTCTTTACAGCCCCTCTTCCTTTTCTACACAACCATTCCTGATCTTTATGAATTCATAATGTGAAGTCTGTTTGCTTGTTTATTGAGTTTAGGAATCAAATCCAGGGCTGTGTGCATAGTTGGTAAACACTGTATATTCCTAAACCATATCGCCAGTGGTTTCGGGATATATGCTTTTAAAAAGGCAGTCAAATTTACCTGGGTAGCCTGTTAAATTTGTGTCGGACAAGAGCACACTTTCCACCACACTTTTCACAGGAATACTCAAGTTCTTCTGCCTATATAAAGATAAGAGAGAAAAATAAGGATGAAGTTGAATTGGCATTAACTCACTAAATGCAAATAATCTTTAGTCTCACTAGTTCAGTGGAATGACAACTCTGAACCAGTTTAAATGCTGTGTTTGGAAGCACAGAATTACCAAATTAAGACCTAATCTTTAAAATAGTTATTTATGATATCATGTCTCCTATTTTCAGAATTCCTAATTTCTTTTTTTTTTTTAACCAAGGAAACATCTCTACTTTATGATAGTAACTAGACTCTAATGAAGCAGACTCAAATTTTCCCCATGGATACACAAGAACCGCTGCCAAGAGTATATCCAGATTTTAACAGTTGGCTATAGCAGAGATAAGATCACCTTCAGGTTAGGCGGAGTTCCTGGTCTGTTAGGTGTAACTCTACCCCTTTCTTACAATGGAACTCAATCTTCTGGTGACAGCCCACTAAGAACAACTGCTCTAAAAGGACCAAAGTTTGGGGTGGATATCATTACCTAGAGAAAACTGAAACAAGAAATCCTTAAAAAGAGGGGATAAAGATACACAGAAAAATCTTCAGTGTACGATAATAACAAGAATAGTAGAGAATGAGTAAAACAACAACAAAGAGACAGAGTAGCTATCTGTTGATGAAGCTGAACAGTATCACTTAAAGAACAGAATTTTTATTAAGCTATAGGAAGAAAACCCTCCCAATTTGCTACAACAAAACAAGGACCATAAATACAGATGAAGAAGAATCTTAGTAAAGTCCTACTAGTTCTAAGGTCTGTCACACAACTCCCTAAAGTCTCTCATAACAACTCATATTGTATCTCTAAGTTTAATTCATGCTGTCAAATTTGACCAAAGGTCATTACAAATGCTTTGCATTCATATTCATACAAGTAAGAAACAACTTTAAAGGTTGCTTAAAACAATCATTATTTAGCTAAACATTCAATCTATTTAGGAAGTCAGTTGTCTTCTTTAGCAGCTTTAATCAAGTTTATCAAAATTTATAAACATTTTCATTCCTTTTCCCTGCAAATAATTTATAGTCAAAACTCTGCCTTGAAAAACCTCAACTCCAAACATAATTATCTATTAAATATAAAAATGAGCTATATAAATATATCAAAGATATTACCCTAAAGAAAAGATCAAGAGAATCTTGAATTGAACGAGGAGGGAGAGGTTTTTTCCTCCGAGGAAGGTCAATGGAGAGATCATTAAACTGTTCTCTTTTGGGAATAGTCTCTCCACATCTGTAAGGATGAAAGGAGATTAGTGTCAAATTGGGACTATAAAAATTCATACTTGTTATATATACACATATATACATACATATAAAAATTACATACAGATAAAAAACTATACTTGGTACCTTCTTCCCCTAAAAAGGTTATGGCTCAACATACAAGAATAGCATAATACAATTTTCTTTTACAGATTTATTATATATTCAGTATTCTGTCTGTATGCATGCCTGCAGGTCAGTAAAGGGCACCAGCTCTCATTATACATGGTTGTGAGCCACAATGTGGTTGCTGGGAATTGAACTTAGGACCTCTGGAAGAGCAGCGAGTGCTCTGAATCTCTGAGCAAGCCATCTCTCTAGGCCACATATTACAAACTTTATAATTTTCTTCCATACAGAAGCACATCTCTCTGACTTCCACTAAAATGTCCTCTATTTCTACCTCTAGACCCAGATTTAAAAGACTATTGTAATTTGTTCTGGCCCATATAGATTATCTCTTATAAAAAATAACAGTAATAATAATAACAATAATAATTCAAGGGTAAGATTAGTAGTCTTGAATATTAGCAAAGTTTCTGTAGCCAGATAAAGTCTCATCATTCAGAGGAGTGAAAACTCACCGTCACCATGGAGTTTATACACATGCAAGGATATGGAATTATACAAAGATAAAGATCACCTTAGAATCCTGCCTGTGAGAGGCACTTACCAAAATATATTTTGATATTCCTGGTCTTTAATAGTGGCAGAAAGTTACTGTGGCTCAAAGTTGAATAATGTTAAAAGTGCTGAAAAGACAATTGAAGAGCACTGACCTACAATTACACTTTAAAAACTTGTTTCTAATGGCTGAAGACTGGGCTCAGTTCTTACACAGAACTCAGGTTTTGTTCCTACCACCCACATAGTAGTTTACAACCATCTACACTCTAATTATAGAGGATGTGATACTCTTCTCTGACCTTGGCACATACATATATGCAGGCAAAATATTCATATACATGAAATAAAATAAATAAATCTTAACAAGATAATTAAACAACAACAACAAAAAAAATGGTTTCCAGCCAGGTATGGTGGCTCACACCTATAACTCTAGCACTTAAAGAGGGTAAAACAGGCCAGACAGTGATAGCACACACCTTTAATCCAGCACTTGGGAGACAGAGGCAGGCAGGTATCTGGGAGTTCTGAGGCTAGCTTGGTCTACAGAGTAAATTCCAGGACAGTTACATAGAGAAACCCTGTCTTGAAAAACCAAAAAGGGCTGAGATAGGAGGATCACAAATTTGAGGCTAAGATAACATACTGAATATAAGGTAACATACTGCATTTAAATCAGCCAGGTATGGTGGTGCACACTTTAATTCCGGCACTCAGGAGGCAGAGTTAGAAGGCTATTTGTGAGTTTGAGGCCAGTGTGGTCTATATAGAAACTCAAGTCCAGCCAGGGCAACATAGAGAGAGACTTTCAAAAAGCAACCCACCAATTAATTAACCATTCAATACCGAGTTAAGACAAAAGTGTATTATAGCTGGTTGTGTGACTCATGTCTTTAATCTCAGGACTTGCAAGAGAAGCTGACAGATTTGTTAGTTCAAGGCCAGCCTGGTCTACATGGTGATACATTGTCTCATGAGACAAAGAACAAAAAGTGTATCAAAAACTATTTAAATTATCTTTGGCTATTACCTCATCAAGCATTGTTATAAAAAGAAAAGAAAGGTGTGGTAAATCATGCCTGTATGATTTAGCCAGTACTTGGGAGATGAGATAGGAAGATGTCAAGTCTAGGCCAGCCTGGGCTACACAGTAAGACTTTGTTTCAAGAATCCAAATCCAAAAGAACTGAAAGACCGAAAGAAAAAAAAAAAATAGTAGAATTTGTGGGTTTGTATTTTCCCTAAGGGAAAGAAAGGAATCAAAAAATAAGTTTTGATACGTGACAAGGAAAGTTTTAGTCACTTGCTATAAAGGACTAAAAAGGGAAAAAAAATTTTTGCTTAGAGATTACATACGCTTTACAGATAATGGAGTGCTGAACCTCAAACTCCAAGTTTGTAATAACAGGGCAAGTGAACACTTTAGTGGCCGAAGCATCTGGTGAATTTTCTTCTCCAAGGATAGGTTCTGTCTTCCAAGTTTTATTCAGTTTTTCCATATCCTCTTTCAGCTGATCTAAACACTGGCTTAAAAATTCGTGAGCATCCTAAAAAGATGATAATATCTATCATCAGAGTACATCATTTCTTGTCATTATATCAAACTGTGGTTTATACAACTGAAGCACCTAGAAGCCAAAAGATACTGAATTGGGTCAGTCTTACTCTGATAAGGATTTGGAGTACTTAAGCTTTTGAATAAACACAAGTTTAGAGATTTAGCTCAGTGGAAGAGCAATTAATTGCCTAGCATGTTTGAGTCCTAGGGTTCAAAACCCAGCACCAACTCCCCGCTCACAAACAAACAGTAACAAGAAAACAAGTAAAAAAAACAAAAAAAACAAAAACAAAAAAAACAAAAACAAAACAAAACAAAAAAAAACTCATCTTGACCAAACACAGCCGACTATTAAGAAACCTTAACAAATCAAGAAAAACTAAAAGTAAAACAAGTAATAGTTTCTGTGTATGTGGAAGGGGTTATATGCATATGAACGAAATGTAAGCCAGCACTTATAGCTAGGGGTGTTGGATCCCCTGGAGCTAAGGTTATAGGCAGTTGCTGAGTTGATATGGGTTCTGGGAACAAAATTTGGGTCCCCCCCTTTAAGAGCAGCAAGAGTACTCTTAACTGCTGAACCATCTTTCAGTCTCTAACTTAACTATTCAATTGTGTAACCATAAATAAACAATTGTTTGTTTAAAAAAGACATTTTTTTCAGTTATTTTTCACTGGCAACTTGCATGTATAAATTAAGTATGCTAAAGCTAGACCAGGAGAAGGGAAGGAGGAGAGCCGTAGAGCAGCCTAGGCTACACAGTATGAAACTGTTTCAAAAAAAGTAGGGGTGCTGAGGATGTAGGTCATTTGGCAGAGAACTTGGCTAGCATACACAAAGCTCTGGGTTCAATCTGAAATACTACATAAGCCAGACATGGTGGTAGCACCTGTAATACTAACAGCTGGGAGGCGGAGGCAGGAGGACCAGAACTCCAAAGTCATTATTGGCTATACATACATACATATATCATGGTTAAGTCTGGCTTGAGTTACATGAGACACTGTTTCCAAAACAAAACAAAGTAAAATGAACAAAAAACCAAAAAGGATAAAATGCATAGAAGAATCATATTAAAAGTTACTGTAACTCCTTAGGTTTTACCATTCAAGGTGACCATATTACACAAATAACATTTTAAAATAAAATTTAGGTCAAAGCTAGTTTGGATTTTTTATATCTAAAACATTTAAAACTAACACTCACATTTTGCATATAGCCGGAGAATCTCTCTGCAGTAGCTGAAATAGCATTTTTAACCTTCTTGAGCAGTTCCTTTTTGGTTTCTGAATTAGAAATATCTTTCTTAATAAGCAGGTTTGCAAAGCGTCTGATAAATAAAAGAGATAGGTTAGCATATTTTAAAAAACATTGAGTAGCATACATATTTTAAAGACTAATTACTAGCAATGACACATAAAAATGTAACTGCCCCCAATCCCATTATTTAAAAATCACTGAGGTTATTTAGCAAATATATTACCATTACCTGATAAGTGTATTGAATGGAATTTTCTTCCATGGGATACTTTGTTTAAGCAAATCATTTGCAAATGACTGGAGTGAAAACAGAGATTGTAAGATAGCATTCATATAGCATGTATTTCCCAAATTGGAGAATCTGGAAAGGAAAGAAGTGTTTGAAATATGTTCAGGATGCATAAAGGTTTTTCCGTTTTGGATCAAAACCATCTGGAGGGCTTGTTAAACTACATATTATTGGACTCAGTTTTTTATTCAGTAGGTATGGAAAACTGGGGTGCAGGGAAACATGCATTTCTAATAAGTCATCAGCTGTTGCTACTGCTGATCTGAAGAAACTGCTGTAAGAACAACTGTATTATAACCTTACAACACACACACTTAAAATAAGCCATTTCCACTATTTTATGTTATTACCTTTCTCTCCCTTCAAATCATGTTCTTTGTATGGTAAAGATATCATTATATGCAGTGAAATTTTACTTCCAGTATTTCACTAGCTTTTTTTGGTGCCTGCCTATGCAAAATTTAGTATTACACAAATATCACTCGTTGAATATTGATTTTGAACCAAATTTATATAGCCTTTCCCTACATGAAAGTTATAGAGAAATTTACCCATAACATCTGATGTCTTTAGAGTTTAAAGACTTAAAATTTTATTTTTAATTACGCACATATGTGTGTCTATGTTTGGGTATGTGTACTCTCAAGTGCAGGCACCCTTTGGAGGACATTGGGTTCCCTGAAGCTGCAGTTACAGGATGTTGTAAGGGGGCTGATGAGGGTTTTGGGAACTTAATTCAAGTTCTCTCAAGAGTAGCAAGTGTTTATTATCATTGAGCCACTTTAGTCTAGACTTAAAATTTTTAACACGTTTCTCTGATTCTATTACAATTTATTCTTGCATGCATTTAAAAATGAATATACCTTTTTTCAAAATTTGCTGTTTTAATACAATTTAAAAGTGCTTCTTTATTCCAACAATTAGGATTTTTTTCTTCTATTCTACTGATCTGCCTATATACATATCAGTTGTTTATTAATGAATGAGACAGGTTCTTTGACTTTTATTATACTTTAAATTCTTGACTCATGGTGCCTTTTGTATTATTTCCAAAGCCTTGTTTGAGAGTTCTACTTCAAGTTTACTGACAACAAAACACTAGTTCAGTTAAATTCATGGCTGCTTTTGAGAAAATATCAATTGAAATATTTTAATTAATATTTCCTATTTTTCTAACTTGCTTTCCTTTCACTTTGGCAGAAGCTTTATCTTAGTACTTGGACTTTCTGGAAGTGACTTTTTTTCTTTTTCTAGTGCTTCATCACCCATCCTACATGTTAGTTTTCATATAATATCTTAAGCCTCTTGTCTCAACTCTGAGCATGCACTGGTTTAGGCAATGGAAAACAGGAATGTTACAGAAATGTTACAGGGTTTGCTTGTACAGTTAGATATGTATTAAACATCTGTCTCCTAGCAGAGCTGAAGCATAGGATGCATTTCTTTGCACTTCTCTTAGTGTGTATATGTGTGCTGGTTTTGGAGGATTTGTGACCAACCATAGAATTAGGTAGCTTATGCTATCCTCTAGTCTTCCAAAGTTTCTTTTTAGATGTGCCCTACCACTTAAGGAGTCTTGGGCTGTGAGTACCGATAAAATCTAAAATCCCGCAATTCCTAAAAAAGTTCTTAAAAAGAGGAAGATGTATTTCTAGATAAGTATATACATTATGCAGGAATGAAACAAACACTGGAGGAACCTGTTGTGTCAAAATGGGCAATTCATGAGGTTATCAAAAGACTAGCACAGACCAGAATAATAAAGTACATAAGAGGGGACAATAGGAAAAGGAGAAAAAAATCAATAGAGACACACACAGAGAGAAGATGGCCTCAAAATAGGACAGGTAAAATCATTATAAGAATACTGTCTGCCTGGCAGTGGTGGTGCATGCCTTTAATTCCACGACTTGGGAGGCATAGACAGGCGCATCTGAGTTTGAGCCCATCCTGGACTAGAGTGATTTCCAGAAAGCATAGCCAAGGCTACAAAGAAACCCTATCTTGAAAAATCAAGGGAAAAACAAAACAAGAATGTTGGCTGGGATTGAAGAGAATGCTCGGTGCTTAAAAGTGTTGGCTGTTCTTCCAAAGGACCCGGATCTAGATCCTAGCATTAGTGTTAACAATTCTGCCAAGAATTCATCCTAAAAGAAATCCATAGCCAGGCAATGATGGCACACGCCTTTAGTTCCAGCAGGTGGATCTTTGTGAGTTCAAGGCCGGCTTGGTCTACAGGGGAGTTCCAGGACAGCCAGAGCTGTTACACAGAGAAAAACCCTGTCTCGAATCCCTCTGCCCCCACCAAAAGAAATTCACTAAGCACTCTTAAATGTTATGGTACATACCTATATTTCTAACATTTGAGAACTGGAAACAGGAGGACCAGGAGTTCAAGGTCATCTTTGACTATACAAAAGCCTATCTCAAAAACCAAAATGGGCCTTGAGAGGTGATGGCTCAGCAGTCAAGAACACTGGCAACTTTTGGAAAGTACTTCTGTTTAATTTGGAGCACCCACTATTATTAACCACCACTATTTCATTTTTGTGTTGAGAGAATATATAAAAAAGGTTGAAAGTACCTGAACAGTAGGCCAAAATATATTGAGTAGGAGAATACTCACTTCTCCATTAAGATGATATTAGAGAGATAGACAGAAAGATAGAAACACACAATGTCAAGGTCTGAAAACTGGAGACCAGATAATATGTTTATAGCTATGACAAATCTTTAACGGGTGACCCAATTTCTAATTTTGCAACTATAATATGAATCATTTCTTACATTAATACCACAACAAATGGAGGATAACTCAGTTAAATCACTCTGTAAGAAAGCAAGTTTACCAACCCCTGCAGCTGCTGTTGGTGAGAGGACAGGGGCACTCTAGGTTTGTTCCAGCCTGCGTAGTCCTGGTTACATCTCAGTTTTTTAACAGATAGAGGAGCTGGCTGAGGAAGAAACCCCAAGCTTCTTTTGGCAGAAGGAGTCTGGCTTGAAACATTACTCCTAAAATAAAAAATAATTAAAAATAAACAAATAAATAAATAAATAAATAAAAATTTTCATTGCTACCTTTTATCTTAATCAGATTCAGAGAAGTCAATGACTAAGGAAAAACCAGTCTCAAACTTAAATAACAGTAACAATGGTCACTTAAAAGAAAAAGTCATGTTTGTAATCTTTACAGAAAACTGAAGACCAGAGTCTTATGAACATATCTTATATTTATTCAGTAATTACCAATAAAGAGAAACAAAAACAAAACAGAAAGATTAAGAGGTTTAAATATTTGACCTACAACCTACATAACCCAAATTAATGGCAAGAGAAAGGTTATATAGTTTCACTTTTTAATTCATTTTCATACATTTTATGGATATCACATTAGTTTACCTAGTTTTGGACAAATTCAGGCAGTAGTATACTCTTCACTACTTCAAATCACATCAGAGAAAAGATTTCTTAATTTTCTTTTAAAGAAAGGTGCTAAATGTTTGTTTGGAGGTAGAAATATTAGGGGTATTTTTAATTTTCTTAAATATTGTTGATTGTTTTCCAGAAAGGTTAAAGCAATTTTTACTTCCCTGAATAAATTTCCATCTCCTCACGTTTCTATAATTTATCATCATAACTACTAATTTTCATAAGTATAGTAGCACATGCCTTTGTGGCTATCTTAACTTGCATTCCTAATTGGACTTGAAGTTAAACACCTTTTTATATTGAACTTTTCTCTGAAACCATCTTTTATAGTCTTATGTTTTGTCATGTTTTTTTTTCTTTGTCCCCCACCCCCACACTCCCCCAGAAAGGGTTTCTCTTTGTAGTGTTAGAGCCTGTCCTGGAACTTGCTTTGTAGACCAGGCTGGCCTTGAACCCACCTCTGCCTCCCAAGTAATGGAACTAAAGGGAAGTGCCACCACCACCCAGCCGCCGCCTTTTCTTCTTCTTCTCTTCTTTTCTTCTTCTTCCTCCTCCCTCCTCCTCCTCCTCCTCCTCCTTCTTCTTTTTGAGACAGGGTCTCATTATGCATCCGTGACCGGCCTAAACTCTATGTAGACCAGGCTGGCCTTAAACTCACTAAAATCAGCCTACCTCTCCATACAGGGTACTCAGGACTGAAATGTGTGCCATCATCCTGGATAAAATTAGCATTCTTTGTCTGTATTCCTGAATTATAATTTACTTGTATATATAGCTTTCTATGCTTTACTCTGTTCCATCTAACTATTTCTCTCTCTGTAAATGTCAATCTGCTTTATTTTTATATCATATTTAATTTCTTGCTGGTAGCTTTAAAATACTATTTCACACATGTGGATTTTTTTGTTTTGTTGTTTTTCAGGATAGGGTTTCTCCATGTAATCCTGGCTGTCTTGGAACTTGCCTTTTAGACCAGGATAGCCTCAAATTTGGAGCTCTGCCTGCCTTTGCCTCCAGATTACTGGGATTAAAAATGTTTGCCACCATACTTGGCTCCAACTCGGATCTTTAAAACATTATCTGTTGTTTGGAATTTGCTGAAGCTTTTCAATATTAGGAGTTTCAGCATTTTTATCCATTATTTCTCTGACAATTTTCCTTGAATTTATTCTTCTCTTTCCCCACAGTACTCTATGATATGGGGAATTCCAGAACTAAGTTTCTTGGTTGCATTTACATTTGCTGCTTCCTCACTCTGCTGTATTCTATGATGGTTCCTTCTTGCCAAGTGGTTACTATTTCTCCTTCTGGTCCTTAACTTTTGCAGAAGATTTTGTATTACAGGTTCTTATTTAATTTTTAAAAATAACATTTATTTATTGTGTGTGAATGTATGTACATGTGTGTGTATGGAACTCGTTTGGGGGGTCAGAGGACAATCTGTAGGAGTCAGTTCTCTTTCCACTAGGTAGGTCCTAGGGATCAAATTAAAGTTGAAGGGCTTGGGAGAAAGTGCCTTTACTCACCAAACCATCTCACTAACCCTCATAATTCTTCATACAACTCAAATAACAAGAAACAGATAACACTGGTTTGTATCCTTGCTGTCTACACAGGAAACCCCAGGAAGAGCACATCAATCATTCCAAACCCAGGAAGCTTTGTAAGAATGTTTTGCCCTGGCTTACATATGGCTTTTCTAGATAGTAGCTTCATATAGTGTCCAATTTTCTGGGACCGCCTCGTCCCCCCACATTTATGTACATAATTGGTGCTCATGAAGGTCAGAAGAAAGTGTTAGATTTTCTGAAACTGGAGTTATAGACAGCTGTGGACCAGCATGTGGGTTCTGGGAATTGGACTTTGGTCTTCTGCAAGAGCAGTCTGTAGTATTCTTAACTACTGAGCAATCTCTCTAGTCCCCACAACCAAACTTTTAGAGAGTCTTGCTATGTAGCCATACCTAACCTGTAACTCACTTTGTAAACCAAATCGGCCTTGAATCTGTGCTAGTTCTTTTTTTTTTTTTTCCTCTCCAGACAGGTTTTCTCTGTGGCGTTGGAGGCTGTCCTGGAACTAGCTCTTGTAGACCGGGCTGGTCTCAAACTCAGAGATCCGCCTGCCTCTGCCTCACGAGCGCTGGGACTAAAGGCGTGTGCCACCACTGCCAGACAGAATTTGTGCTAATTCTATTTCCTCTCTGCCTCCGGGGTTTACAGACATGCACTATCATACCTGGCTGAAAATTTAATTTCTGAGAAACTTTTCCAATGAAAGACACTTGTATGAAGCTTTAGTTTTTTTTGTTTTTTGGTTTTTTTTTAAATTTGTTAAATTTGAAAGTTAGCATAGGAAACAAAGACAACGTAAACATGCCCTGAGAGGATGGGAAGTACAGTGGCCAAAACACTCTAATAATGTCAGTCACAATGAGTAGCATTGATATAAACCTTTCCAGATCTCAATTTATCTATTGTTGGACACATTTCAAAACAGACAAAACTAAAATATTTGTAGAATACTTCCTAACTAAAGTGTCATGACGTTTATGATTGGAACAGATTCTGATGTGCTTAAACTAGGGTATTAGCTAAGGTAAGAGTATAAAGAGAAGCCAGTTTCATCACTCAAGATTCTAAAGAGGGAGAGTCCTGCAACTTCTTCACTTGGAATTCTGTAACTATGGCATACCTGTCTAGGTTAGAGCCACCAGAAGAGTAGTCCTTAGATCCAGCTCTGCTCCCATAAAATGAGGATGACTGCAAAGGCAAAAGTCCTATAGAAATATGAAAGAAAACTTAATGCCTAATTTACCAATCAAACTCATTTAGTAATATTACAATTGGATCTGTTTGTTTTTAACTCTATTCTTAATACATGCCCATTAAAGATCAATACTGCAGGGAAAGTTACAATAGCAAAGTAGTGATCCTCTATCTACAAACTGTTCAAGGTCCTCTTTTAGTTTCTAATCCCTTTCACCCTACCTTTTTACTCTTTGAGGGATTTTTTTTTCTTTTAAGATTTTATTTATTTATTATGTACACAACATTCTGCTTCCATGTATATCTGTACACCAGAAGAGGGCACCAGATCGCATAATGGATGGTTGTGAACCACCATGTGGTTGCTGGGAATTGAACTCAGGACCTCTGCAAGAGCAGTCAGTGCTCTTAACCTCTGAGCCATCTCTCCAGCCCCTCTTTTTATACATGCATATAATTAATTTTATTCCCAATTCCCCCTCTCATCCTCTTACCTCTACTGCCAAACCCTTCTTCCCAAGAGGTGCCCCTCTTACACTCATGTCTTCTATGTATATAGCTCAGAGTTTAGTCTGATTTCTAAAGCCTAGTTTTTTGTGCCTTATATACCAGAAGTTCTTAAATTTTCCCATTTGCTACAGCAATTCTTCAGAAACATAGGTAAATAAGTTTAATAGTTACTGATAGTAAATCATCAGTAATTTATTTTAAAAACAATTCTTTAGTATACATATTATTGTACCATTTATTAAAGATAGCAATTTGCATAGTAATGAGATCACTTATTATGTATTTACTATTTCCTTTTGCTAATTGCTGGTTGGTTGTAATTGCTTAAAACAAACAAGTGTTATTAATAGGGTCTTAAAACAGTGCTATTAATGGTCAAAGTATTAGTATTTCAGAAAGAAAGCTTATATTGGTCATGTTTCTTCCTGGAGGAAACTCAGTGATAATGAGCAATACTGATGAACCTTAATTTCAACCACAGTAATCTCTGATTCAGTCTATTGTCTTCATATTTTAATACTAAAAAATTAATTCTACACACTGAAATAGAGGAAAAAGAAGGTAAATTCTGGATTTGTTTGTTTTGAGGCAGGATCTCTCTCTGTAACATTAGCTGTTCTGGAACTCAGAGATCCTCCTACCTCTGCTTCCCAAATGCTGGCATTAAAAGCATGTGTCACACTTCCTTAAATTCTGGACTTTTAAAAGAAAAACAAAATAACAAAATGTAAGCACAGACACATGTGCACTCACAGTCTCACTATGTAACACTGGCTGGCCTAAATTCTACAATGTAGGTCAGGTTGATCTCAAACTCAGAGATACAGGCTGCCTCTGTCTCCCCAGTGCTAGAAATAAAGGTGTGAGTCACGATGCTTCCTGTTGCTGGGTTTTTTTTTTTTTTTTTTTTTTTTTTTGAGAAACAGTCTCATGTATCCATAGCTGGTGTCAATCTCACTATGTACTTGAGGCTAGCTTTGAACCCCTGATTCTCCTGCTTCTACCTCCTGGATGCTGGGACTATGAGTGTGTACCATTATGCCTGGGTAACTTTCCTTATATTATTTATTTACATTTTTTTAAGAGTGTGTATGTATGTGTCTGTGTGTGTATGCCAGAGTACACATGCAGAAGTCAGAGGATAACTTTCCAATGAGCTTTCTCTTTCAACAACATGAGTCACTGAGATTAAATTAAGATCTCCAGTCTTGGTGGCAAGAACTCCTACCTACTGAGTTATCTTGTCAGCCCTCTTTAAAATACTCTATTCAATTATTGGGTATAAGTTAATGACTAATGCTGGATTATCTACTATCCCTGAACATTGTACACTCATTTTCTAGCTTTAAATATAGTCTATGATATAAGCAAATAAGACCTTAATTAAAAACCAAAACTTGAGTGCCAGGATAGGCTCCAAAGCTACACAGAGAAACCCTGTCTCAAAAAACAAAAAAACAAACAAACAAAAAAATAAAACAAAACAAACAAACAAACAAAAACCCCAAACTTACCTGATGTTCGATTTTCTTCTGCCTGTTTCAAACTCAGCTGCTTTTCTCTACTGCTGGTTAAATATTTTCTTGAAGGGTCTGTCATAGCTTTGTTGTTCCTACAGTTAACAATTTTAAATCAATATAGTGAATGTATAAAGGTATTCTTAATTCTCAGTGAAATAAGAACTATGAAAATAACCTTTCATTAAGCCAAGAACCACTATAATCTATGAGTCTAGCAAATTAAGCAAAATTAAAGGAATGTTTTCTTTTTAAAGAAGTCATGTAATCAGAGACAACAGGATGATACTGACTTTTCCTAACCAAAAGCAAAAAGCAAGACTAGGTAATAGCCAGACAGCTCATGTAAGTAAAAGTGCTTGCAATGAAAGCCTGATGATCTAAGTATGATGCCAGAATACCATAGTGAAGGTAGAGAACCAATTTCTGCAAGTTGTCCTGAGACCTCCACAGGGAAAAGATGGTATGCACATGTGCGTGGACACACACACACACTTAAAATTTTAACATTTAAAATCATTTACCTAAGACAAAAACAATAAATTAAAGATGCAAACTATTTAGCATTGATGCTTTGCAATTTTTGTGTTTTTTTTTTGAGACAGGGTTTCTCTGTATTGCTTTGGAAGTTGTCCTGGAACTCACTCTGTAGACCAGGCTGGCCTCGAACTCACAGTGATAGCGCTGTCTTTGCTTCCCGAGTGCTGGGATTAAAGGCATGAGCCACCAACACCTGGCTGATGCTTTGCAGTTTTTAAAAAATAAGATTCAGGGGCTGGAGAGGTAGTTCAGAGGTTAAGAGCACTGGCTGCTCTTCCAGAGATTCTGAGTTCAATTCCCAGCAACCACACAGTAGCTCATAACTATCTGTAATGAGATCTTCTGCCCTCTTCTGGCCTGCAGGCATATATGCAGGCAAGACACTGTATATATAATAAATAAATCTTAAAAAAAATACAAATGTTCTTATATCATATATAATTTGAAATGCTACTTAGAAAATATAAACATTTCAACTTGTAGTGTTTAATAGTTTAAGTTCATAAATGCAAAAATTTTTCTCTTTTTAGATAGGGTCTCCCTATGTAGTCCAGGTTGTCCCAGAAGTAGCTGTATAGATCAGACTGGCCTCAAACTCACAGAGAGATCCACCTGCCTCTGTCTCTTTCAGGCTGGGATTAAAGGCATGCATGATCACATCAGGTTCAATTCCTCCCTATTATTTCCAAGTACTAAAATCAGAATGTCCACAAAAATAAAATCTCCAAGTTTTGATTGAAATTACTAATTTAGGGGAATCATCATAAATTAAGCTTGTAGCAAATAATGCTGTTGCTCTGCCCATATTCCCTCTGACTCCATTTTTGTGTCCTCTTCTTTACATCTTCACTCTATAGCCTCTAATTAAGAAATATAGCTAAACTGGGAGGTGGTATCACACCTCCTTTAATACCAACACTCAGGAGGAGGCAGAGGCAGGTTATCTCTTGAGTTCGAGACCAGCCTGCTCTACAGAGTGAGTTCCAGGATGGGTAAGGCTACACAGAGAAACCCACCCTTGAAAAACAAAACAATATATAGCTAATCCTAGCACTCTGGGGGTGGAGGCTAGAGGGTCAGGAGTTCAAGGCCAGCCTGGGCTACATAGAGAATTTGAGATCAACCTGGACACACTCTCTCTCCCTCTCTCCCTTTCCATCCTTTAATGTGTTTGGCCCTGCAACTAGTTTTCTTTTCCTGAAAGAACATCAAAAGTAAATGTCTGTGAGTTTTGATCCCAAGTCTAAAAATGTTTTTCAGATTTCCTGCCACTGCTATATAATTCTAGACTAGCTTGCTAAACGGTGGAAGACACATGGCCTAATTACCCTAACGAAGAGCAATTCCAGGGCCAGCCATGAGACAGACTATTCATAGCTTCTCAAGCCACTTACTTATTCACAGGAAAAGTCAATGGATATAGGTAACTGGTTAAGCCAAGTTCAGATAAGCTGAAGTACACAGTGACTATAAGCAATACTTTTTGTTCGTTATATTTTTTTTGTTTGTTTGAGACAGGCTCTTTATGTAGCTCTGCTATCCTAGAATTCAATTTGTAGACAAGGCTGACCTTGATTTAAAGCCACTATATGGAGTAATGTGTTATACAGTAATTGGTAACTGCCACAAGGGATATGAGGTAAAATATAAGCATGAAGACTACGGTACTGGCTTGCTGCTAATATAAGCATTGATTTGTTCAGGAGAAAAGATGGGTCTCATCCAAGACCAGAGGAATGTAGCAGGTACTTTAGGATTTTAGAGCAACATCATTCTGTCTCCAACAGAAAATTCTAAATTATCTATGAAGTATGGCACACTAATAGGCCCTCAAAAGAGAATGAGCAAGTGATTAC